TTTTACGGTTCAGAGGCACCTTAACATTTTCTTATAGGGGTTAAAAATTGAGAGTTCCAGATTGTAGGGGATATCTCAATTTTTGATGTTATTCATACCCTTCCAACGCCGGTAATTCTGCGCCTCTTTTAGACATTATTTCATCCTAGATCTGGCCCCTAAACGCTGATAAAAAAACATTTGTACCACACGAGTCATAGCAAAGCCACGAACATTAGACATACCCACCTGCGAACGTTATCAGATGGTCGGTACTGTTGGTAGGTGACGGGAGAAATTTCTGGACCGCAACTTTGTCGTATGGTTAGGGACTATTTACTGATTATATAGGTCCGCATGACTAATTTGATCCTTTACGAACAGATGAAAGCGATACGTGATGAAGGCAGAGTAACCTATTTGTTGCCATTTTTTATCTACGGAATAATTTTCACTAGTCGCTGTTAACTGACTGGCTGATTCTGGTATCACTAAAAGTAGGAACTGAGTTGTTAGTTCCAAATACAATAACGCTCCTTGTAGGTATGGTGGTTTTAATGCTCTAAGCTGTCTAAATTCTAGGGAAAACTAGAGAGTTATAAAATAAGCTATACCTTGTCGTGCCAAATAATCAGAAGCACTTTGCCAAATTTCAATTAAGAGGAACATTGAACGCCAACCGAAAGCACTTTTTCAGTAAGCATTATATTTTGTAATTTCGTACAAATGACACACAATGTTTTATATAGCTGTGACGTCTTCGTAAGCACTAAGTGGTAAGATAAGACAATATTTTATTTTAATTGAGATACTCCTAAAATATGTGCCTAGAGCATTACAACTTTATTAGCGACGAGGGGTATGGTTTCCGATACCAGCTATTACCTGGAGATCTCATAAGCGACTGTAGAATAAGCTAGCAAGTTTCTATGCGGATTTTTTGTTTAGGAGGAAAATTCTCGAAAATGTGATTGTAGAACAACTAATAGGTTTAGGCATTGATTTTTCTACTCTCTCGTGATGTTGACATGTAGCTCTTAAACAGCAAGGCGAATAGCTTGTGTGCGACTCGCGTGATATGTTGCCATGGGTGCGCGATAGGTTTACCGATAGAGACGCTTCTCAACGCACACACTGTTCTTCTCACCATTTTCACCGTTTACCTAATGAAATACGTAAATTCCCACAGTAGCACGATGTTTCCCAGTCACCAGCTAGACGATTTAAAAAATTGCTCTTCACGTGTATGAGAAAATTGACCGTAATTCATTAGAAAACAAGGTCACTGGTTTAGCGTGCACTTCCTCTACAGGAAATGAACGCTTAACTCTCTGGACGTTCTATCTCGCGTATCTCGTTCCTTAACATACCAGGAAGCTTATGAGCCGTTCCGTACCTCAATTTAATGCAGTTCAGGGTAAATTTTGCTAGTATCAATTTTCTACATGAAGAAGAAAATATGTAGGAAATATAACTGCGCTTATGAATCATGTAAACCCAAAAATTCTGACATCAAAACTTAACAGAGTGAACTACCAGTTCCACCGAAATTGCTCTACTCCCATTTTCGTGATCCAAATACCCTATAGGTATATTTTGATCAAATGTTTTGATTTCTCAGCTCAGAGTCAATGTCACTGCGTTGCTAAGTATTTTTCCAACGGATATGCTTTCGCACTTGTTTCCTTCCCAATTTTTTTGTTGAAATTGAGCAATGGGTTGCTAATATGATAAACATTGACTTATAACAGCTTCCGTACATTTGATTTCAGTATATTTGCTTCATGTTGTGATACATGAGCACTTCCACCTGTTGAAACCATAGCATGAGAAAAAATTGAACTTGAAGCATATTTTTTTTATAGAAACTTTTTAGCAATATGATTATAGTCACATTGATTTGGATAGCACTAGCACAAAGTATACATTAGGTGCTCCATTCAAAAATCGTTATCTATGACGTTCCCAGATGCCCGGAATATCGTTGGAACTTGATCCAGGAAATTAGTAAAACGATTACAAATTTTAATAAAAAGTTGCTTACAGTGTGAGTTTATGGTTAAGAAAACTGATTGCTAATGTACATCATGTAATAGTTTGTAATCAAACGCAAGTTTCAAATATGTCTTAATGCCATGCAGTAAGTTTTGTCTGGTAAAAAGTAATTTATGATCGTTGTCTAGGATGTTCCCAGGCGCTTGCAATATCGTTGGAACTTGATCCAGGAAATTAGCAAAACGAACAAAATTAAATTCTTGGGCAAAAAGTAGCGATAATAAATTTTCACAAAGTTTAGATACAAATTTTAATAAAAAGTTGCTTACAGTGTACATATGCAACAGTTTGTAATCAAACGCAACTTTCAAATATGTCCTAATGCCACGCAGTAACTTTTGTCCGATAACAAAAAATAACTCAAAAACCACATGTCACCATTTATCATACTAACCATTCTTTAGTGTATCTATCATGTTCTAATCTTCTTTTTTTCGCATGATGATATTTATATCTTCTATATCTCCATACGTCTCTGCATAGCTATGAGTTTGCACCTGATCTTTGTGGTATATTTACTGATAGTTATAATATAGATCAGAATCATTAAAAGGAATCATTGATGTATTTTACAGTTTTTGTTTCTTCAGAAGAAAGGTGAACGGATGATAAAAAAAGCATTCTACTTCCAATTGTTGTGAGCTTTAATAAGAAAAAGAGTACATTAATCGTAATTTGTTCAAATCATTGAACATTTTGTATTGAATTTTTGATTGGGTATTTATAAAAAACATTGTTTTCAAGAAAACCAATAAAAACCGAAATTGGAATTTATTGTGATTGTATAGCAAGTTAGAGCACATATTTGCCATAGGGTTAGATGTGTCGTACTAATAGAAGTTATCAAGGTAAATAGTAAATTATCAGACTTTTCATGGTTTTATTGCAATGACTTGAAAATTCTTTTACCCATTTTGATGTTCGAAAATTTAGTCTGTGAGTGTCTTAGGGCTTGAAAAGAGGCCAAAGTTCATTCCTGCACCGATAACATAAAATATGATTTTCAACACTTCCTTTTGCAAATGAAAAATTGAAGTGATACATTTTTTCCTGGAGCGACCCATATTAATATACTCTCACCCTCTTTACATGTTTTTACCAAATAATTTGACCACTCACAATTTCCCTCAGGACTTCTATTTTCGCTGGACTGCTAAAAGTTAAAGCCGGTTTTGACCTTACTTAGTCAAAACTACTTTTCACTGATTTCTGCAGTGACTAGTTATGAGTTCTGACTGTAACATAAAAATCTGCCATCAGAATCTAACTGAAGTTAGCCTTATTTCTACTTAACCTCTCTAACTGGTACCAGTAATTCGGACCACTACCCAACATAGCTGTATGCATGCGTCGATATAAACGCAATTCAATGCCCCACACTTTGTCTTTCAGAATATAAGTTATCTCTAGCAGCCCTAGCACCTTGAACTATTATCTTACTTTTCAACAAATAAATGTAATTTCAATAATAATAATAATAATGATATTTATTCGCCAAAATACATAAAATGGGAAAACAAATATGAAAAAACCACAGAAGGCATCGCCTGTGTGTGGATTATATCTTAACAACTAACAATCAATCATATGTGTATAACAATTATTGTTAATTCTAAAAAGTATTATTATAATTGGAATTTGGTAGTTTTAGTTTTCTATATAATTATTTACAGTCATTCGCTGCACAGTACAAACCCAGTTAATTTTCGTCTAATTTTTTTTCCAAAATGAAGTATTTTTATTTCGTTTGATACTACATTATATAATTTAGCTGCTAAGAACTTAAATGATTTTTTGAATAATGTTTTGTGTGATCTTTGGATATTAGATGAGCCTATTCGATATCGTGTGTTATGCTCGTGTTTATAGGATTTTTTTCATTAGAATACTTATGGTATGAGGTGGTGGTATGTAAGAAATAAAGTTGTCTTGTATCAAGTATCCCTGTTTCCTGAAATAAGTTGTTCGTCGGATATAATCTTGGCTTATGGAAAGTGACCTTCAAAACAGTTTTTTGTGTTATATTCATCGGATATTTGTCGTTTATCTGTTAATACTGTTCCAACCCGATTCTTAATTCTTCTGTTGAACGTCTTTGTTAGTTAAGTGATCGACAACGGACCACAGTTTTCTTGGATCAGATCTGGCATCTTGTAATTTTTTAAGGTAAAATTGGCGTTTTGCTTCTCTAGATTGATAAAAATATTTTTATATTCATTATATTTACGGGAGGTATCTGCACCTGGTGATCCTTTCATTATTTTGTATAGTCCTCTTTTTTGTTCGCAGACTTTATCAAACCTTTAGTTATCCAGGGATTCCTGCTTCTGTCAAAATGTTTAATTTTAACTCGGTTAGTACTACATTCAATTAAATGCTTTATGTGTTCAATGAGTGTGTTTGCAGCATCATTAACATTTGTTGCACAGTACACTGATGTCCACGATTCTAATTTGATATTTGCAAGTAGTTTTTTATTATCGACAAAACACCTAAATTTCACTGTTTCATTATTGGGGGTGGATCTACTATTATTTTTTCTGGTGATGATAAAGTATTACAGTGGGTAAATGATCGGCTATATGGTTTTCAACAATTAATGGTACGTACCAAAAGAAATTTGAAAAATTTTTGATGAAACAATGATCAATGCAAGAACTAGAACTATTATTGACTACTCTTATTGGTAAATTTATATGTGATATGAATCCGTTGCTCTGCATTACAGTGAGATATTTGTTTACTAATTTGGTATTTTGCAGTATATTAATATTTATGTCTCCTATTATGATGTGATGTGACTGTATGGCATTTTTGTTATCTAACAAAAACCTTTCAAGATTCTCTACAAATGTATAAGGGTTTGATGATGGTGGTCGATAGACACATGTGACTTTTACACCTTTGTGTCAATATCAAATCCAACACTGTGATACCGTCATTAAATTTAACAAAATCATATCTGTAATTGATATCATTTCTTACATATACTACCACCCCATCATTCTGATTGCATGTACCATTATTGTAAAGCGTATCATAACCATCCAAACAGAACAAACATACATCATTAACTTTCCAACTTTCTGTTAATATTACAACATTACAATATCAAATTTGTGTCTAATTGTAGTCAGAAAGAATTAAAACAGCCAAAATTTTGGTTTAGGCGTCGCATATTCATGTGATATAACTAACATTGAAATTAGAATATTCTAACCATTTATTAAGTGCATTTGTGTATTGAGCAATATTTGTATTGATATAATTAACCTGAAAATTATTTACGTAACTATCCATGTAAAATTTTGCAAACGATATGTAGCTCGAAAGACGTAAAAAGGACTAAACACTCAAAACATTACTCTGGATGAATACTGTTTTTGAAAATATAAATACGACGGGCATTTTTTGTTTGTGGGCGAGTAACCAACATCATTATTCTTAGTATGCTTAACGTTATAGTTCATACAGTTAGAACATTTTAAAATGTTTACAGTACAAATTTCAATTCTATGTGCTTGTCCACATTTAATGCACATTTCCGCGCCACTACATTTTTTGTCTGTGTGACCGAACTTCAAGCATTTCCTACACTGCGATATCTGGTTACTGTCATAGAGAAATAAGTTTTGCCAACCTAGTAGTATTCTTGATTTCTTGTTGATAAGTATGTCTCTATATAGCTCTCCAGAAACTTCATCGAATAAGTATAAGAATTTCGGAATGGTATGAGTCGCACTAAAGTGATTTCGATTTCGTTTTCATTAATGAATGTAACCTCTGATATGATTTCTTCTTTAATTTCTGCTTCTGAAGGCTTTTTTTCAGTTTTGTAGCCTATGATTTTAATTTTCGGTCTCATTTCTCTTGCTCCTGATATATTGTATTTTCCCTTTAACTTAGTTTCTAGTTCATTTTTCAGTTTCTGGTAATAACATTACTCAACTTGAATTTCGACGCCGCCGTTTTTATAGTTATTTACTATCTCTACCTTGACTTCAATACTTGCTAGATTAATGTTACTATTAGGTCTTTTCTGGTGTCATTATAATATTGGGTCCTTTCGGGAGTAACTAATATGGATTTGATGTCATTGTTGTTCCTGTTGTTGATTTTAGGAGTATTTTGTTTCAAAATTGGTGAGTATCATATATTCTCTGACGTTCTTTTCTCAAGTTGTTCTAGTTGATCAGCATAAGCGATTAAAACGCTAAAACAATAAGGAAGTTATGAGCAAACTATCTTTTAACGATGCAACCTTGCCTTACCCAGGATGGTTGAACATTTTCAAGGAAATTCTACTGAAAACTAGTACACCACGGCGAAATCTATCAAGTACTGATCGTTGCATTTCGCTGCCGGCGAATTTAATCCTGTTTTTCATGTACGTCAGACATGTGGACGTCACTAAGACCTTCCTCTTGTTACACAACTTGTAACAGTTGACAATCAGTCCACATACCTTTCAGTTTTCAGTCTCTAACAAGTCGTAAAACGTTCTAACTAATGACATTCACCGCTTATCGCAAATTAGTGCAAATGTACACTGTACACAAAACATAAATAGATGTTGTAAACGGTGGTTGATTTGTTGACAAACCTGGAAGGATGTGATCAAGACATTTTTTCAAATAATCCTTCAGTCGGCTTCTCCGTAAAGTGCTGGAAGCATGCAGAAAAGCATAGCGTACATCATACCTCAAGGGTTTTATGATGATGATAGGAATGCTTTTCATTTTCGATTTGCTAAGTGAGTGAATTGTGGTGTTTTTGATTTAACGCATCAATGTGCTTTGTGAGTGGTCTCCATTTTATTTGGCAAATGCATTCAGAGGTTGACTACTTCAGTTAGGAAAGATTGGTTTTCCACACTGTCAATTCTCTTTTGACATCAAACTAAGACGTCAAATTTCTCCGATAGAACCATATACATATGTTAATTAGTTAGGGGATAAAATGAATTCCGTTTTCATTCACGTTATTATCCGCTGACAGAAAGCGCCAGCGAATAGTGTCATATCAGTTCGTATCGATATGTAAATACAAGCGATCAACATTACTTCTTTAGGGCGTTGCCAGGAAAGAGTGATTTCGATTTTAGTTATTTCAAACAAGCAGACAAAACGCGTATAGTTTGGGAAAAAATATTTCTGAAAATGTCAAAACAAACGAAAGTGGCTGACTGGAATTTTGGCAACTCCTGCTTGTAGCAGTATAATTAGTAGCAGCATACTGTAATTGAGCACTAGACCATAGTAGTTTTTATTAAGATCGTAACAATTTTTACATGTGCTTCTATTCTATCCGAATTTCAATGGCGCAACGGGAAACAAACGCTACGGGGCAATCTTCAAATCTTCAAATCTTCGCACTTGTTTTGTTGCGGAGTACATTAGCTTTAAATAGGGATTATTAAGGTAAAAGAAAACTAGCTGTGTAAAATAATTATGGTTATGTGGGCAGTCCTGAAGAGGATTAATTTAATTAATTCACCCCAGTTTCTTGTAAAATCTAATGCGAATTTCGATGAATTCCTGGGAAGCGTTATTGCGAAATAATGGGCAATAGGAATTTCCTAAAGGTAGGCGATTTATTGGGAAATAATAGGTACACCAGAAAATTTTCGGAAACGTTTCTTATTGTCATACAGATGACTGTTAGCAGCTGATCTTTTGGGCAGGCATTTCGAGTTACCTGGAATATCAGACTATTGAGGGTAGTAAGTCATCTTAATATACAATAACTGCTGTCAATGACGAAGTAAGGCTTAGATTTTTTATATTTCTTACAGGCCTCCAGAAGACGTAACTTATGAAGACGAAATTGATGGAGGAAGTACAGAAGATGAGGCAGATGATGACGACTACCTTAAACCAAGAAGGCAGCACTGGTCAAACAAGCTTCAATTTGTTCTAGCTTGCATAGGTTATAGTGTAGGCTTGGGCTCAATATGGAGGTTTCCGTACCTTTGCTACAAAAGTGGAGGAGGTGAGTATTGTTACAGATTCCATGGAAAAAATGTTATAGCGATCATTAGGGTACGCAAACCAAAGCCATGTATGAATGAAGGAAGTATCGTGACTGCAAACATTTCGGTATCTCAGGTGAGGCTTTATAACTACCATCGTAGACTGACCCGATTTTGATCAAAGGGCAGCGGTGTCATGCGTGGCAATAATAGATAAGGCTGCACCACTTTTGAAGAACAAAAATGTTTTTTGTTTTTGTGTTGTAATTATCTCTGGATGTACCAAAAATATTTCTGTTTTTATGTTTCTGGTCACTATATGCTGCAGTAAAAAGTTTAAGGTTACTCAAACATTTTGCAATTTAGAAGAACCGATTATCGGACCTTACCGAATATCCATAAGCTTGTAATAAAAAATTAAAAAATCTTTGTTTGCTAAAAATGATGCTCAAAAGAATTTTTAAAGGGTGCTAAATTTTCACAGGGTCATATGTGTAGATTTAAAAAAAGATGACTTCTCATCCTTAGGAATTTCGATAGTTCCGGTTTTTATATCTAGTTCCGGCAGCCTCCACTCTTCGATGTATGTATATATTGAGCGAGTAAGGACAAGATATAATACAGAAATTGTTAAATCTGGATATTATCTCATGAAGGTCGTAGGCTATACTGGATATTACATGGACATAGTATCACTATTAATATGATTCAACTTATCTGTTTTTATCTGTAATTAAAGAAACAGGCTGCATGTCAAATAAGTGTATTTATCAACGGAAGGAATACGTTTCCAAAATTAGCTAGCTCGTTATGAAAATAAACGAACTTGACCTGTTTATATCATTGATGTTCTGTTGTTCAAAATATAATCCGTGAATACTCTTTATGCAACATTTCCATTTAATCATAAATCATAAGCTACAATAAAATAAGCATTTCCAAATAGACTGAGATCAAGAAATATGTTCAAAGACAAGCCTTCATTAAAAGTAAGGTTCTGAAATGAATGGACTAAGTTTTGATTTAAACTTTGAATACAGAATAAGATCTAGTAAACTCGAGTTATATCTATATACTGATTTGTTTTTGCACTCGGACAAGCGTAACACAAGCGCTGGTGGTTAAGGCTGCTTTCTTCGTATGTTCAGGTTGTCAAGAAAATACCCTAGATATCTCATTCAAATATAGGTTACTCGTACTTTATTTCAACACGTAGGTAGTACTGTCGATATACTGGTTTCAAAAAATGCTAAAGTACCACAAAATCACTGTTCGAATCACTTTGACTAAAGCAGAATGCAGGGAACACTCAGGATTGTCAAGTGGTGCCACGTGGACTCCACTTTCCAAAAGTAAGGTATTGGTCTCACAAAGCGGTGTGAGGTACAACTGCTGTAGGCTAACGCTGTTTTCTCCACGTTTTCAGGTTTTCTAGAATATGCCCTGAAAAAGGTAGATACCTATTTCAAATATGGGGCATTGGTGCTTTATCTCAAAACTTGGGTAGTATTGGATCCAAAGAAAAAATAAAATTTTGCAAAATCACTGCTTCAATCACTTTGGATACGGCATAATAGAGAAATTGGCTGAACTATACTTTAGCGCATATCGCAAATATTTCATTTCTTATTTTAAAATGAAAGATGAAAGTTAGGATGTTATGTTGTCAATTTGGAATAGGTACAGTGCTTAATGTGCGACTTGTGGGTTCACCCTGCTCGTAGTGGTTATGAATCCAGTGTGTATATCTGTGATTATTGTAAGAACAGTAACTAAGAACAATGAACTATAACTTCAAGCTAAATACTGATTGGTGATTATTATTATGACTGATTACTTAATAATTAACAATTATAAGCTATTTTGCTAAACAGATTAATTACCAAAGACTGTAGAACAGTTACACAGTTGAGAAATTTACTAGTTTCTCAGAAAAGGTGTAAACATTTGTCAAAAAAATGTTATTATGTTATGTTACTATATTCCAAATTACCTGCACCCTAAGTAAATGTACGCTTTTGATAAATATTTTGATGGGGTTCCTGGTTTTTGCTTTGTTCGATTGTTTATATCATTAAAATCAAACAGCTTCCCGATAATTTAATGCACTTTCTATTTTGCTATCCTGTTTATCTTGCAATTTATTTCCAAAAAACAAAAACCAGTATTTCAAATATGCTGCAGTGCCTCTACAGTTTGCCAGGTTTTGGCTCAACGTGGACAATATTGGCATCTAAACGAAGCTAAAAGCGACCGAGTAGATCGAAATATAGATCACGAATTTGCGCCTTCGGGATATACGAGTAAATCGGCACCTCCTTCAGTGCCTGTAAAAAGCCTCATACCAATAAAAAAATGCAATACCAGACCACTTAACCACCACACTAGGAGGCGTACTTACAAATATCTAGGAATAATAATAAGAATATTGTAGTACTGCGTGAAAGATTTTTCCAACATCAAGACCCATAATGGTGAACGAAGAAGCTACATGTGGCGCCAGCTGCGCGTGTGCTTCACTACAGTGTCGTAAATACGAAAGCTACTTTATATACTAAGCAATTACGGTATATCAGGGAATGCAAAGCCAACGAGATCAGGGATCCATTTTAGGGGAGGGATCCGGTCTAGGACTTAACAAAATTTAGCTTTGTCGGTATTGGTATACTAAGGGGGAGTTTGGGTTAAAATAATTGGCTTATATTCCATGTCATCTAAGCTCATTACGAATAAATTCATAAGAATATATGCATTTATTTGTGCAACAGTGTAAAATATGGCAGGTGATAAGTAGCATTACGACTAGTCATCCAACCTCCGTTTATATCAAGTCACCTCCCATATTGACATAACACTTATAGCATTAGCATACAAAACATATGATCATCTCATCACCTTCGGAAACGATGTTGAAGTAATTTATGGCTAGAATTTGTACTTGAAAAATATTGATAAAAATCTTCCGACGATTGTTCCAGCCGTTTTCCTGATCCCTTACGCAATAATAATGGTGTTCATTGGCGGACCCATGCTGTATATGGAATTAGCAGTAGGGCAATTCACTGGCAGGGGACCTATTGGAGCGTTGGGACACCTGTGTCCCCTATTCAAAGGTAGGAGCGTTGGAACTTATTGATGCCAATATTAGGATCTGTAAATTGACTTTCAGAATAAACGAACTATGCTATGAATTCAAAATGTACTTCCAGTTTATGTCATAATCCCAGAATCGTCACTCAGTAGTTTACTATTTTTCAATTCACGACGAAAAAAATATTAGGATTAACCAAAAAATTATAATGACATCGCTAATGTCAATTTACAATCCTTACAGAGGATTTTGACACAAATAAGTAATCTTAATTTTTTAAAAAGCTTATTTCTCTGATTTCTCCTTTTTGTATAATATACGTTTTTCGCTATACAGGGTTATCCAAATTAAGTGTCCACCATTGGTAACTTTGTTATTAGTAAAAATACAAAGTTGTTTAAATTAGCAAACTAGTAGCATTTTTAACGCTGGTAAAAATGAGAAATAAAAAAAAAACAATTGAGAGTCGTTATTTTGATTTTTTTCAGTAAAATAACATTTTTTTAAATGGAAACCCCTGTATATTATATTTTTTTCTGTTAAAGCATCAAATTTTAAACAAAAAAGTTCATAATGCTTTTCCGCTAAAGTCAAGAATAAAGTCAAAATAACGATAAATATTTTTAATTATTTGCAGTATTATAATATTAAGACGGCTATGAAAACAACATGGCGTTCGCGATTTGACAGCATTAAGATAAGCGACAAATTGTTAAACTGGACATACTCGCAACTAGAAGGCTTTGGAAAACAATGATAAAATCAAATAATGTCAAACATTAGTGTAAATACTTGTTTATAAGCTTTATTGTGTCATTAATTTAAAGAAAAATGTTCTCCCATGAAGAAAAGTGTGATATGTTAGAATGCTATTTAGTGTGCAGAAAATCCTCCTTGAGAGCAAGAGAATACTACAGTGAATTATATCCCGCTCGCATTCAACCGTATGAACGATATTTTCTGAGACTTTATCGAAAATTTAGGGGCAACGAAAATGTTTTTGCTAAAACAAGGGCAAAAAAAGAATTCATAATAAGCGAGGCCACGGAAATTGCAGTTATTGGATATTTTGAAGCTTATCGTGAGAATTCAATAGCAGATATTCTCAAGGACTCTAATTTCAGTTATGGTACTGTTCAAAGGATTTTAAAAAAATACAAATTTATTCCGTATAAGTACCGACCAGTTCAAACGCTTTTGGCAGGGGATCCAGAGAGAAGACTTGTTTTTTGCCATTGGTATCTTAGCTTCTGTCGCCAAAATGTAAATAACTTTCGTTACCTTTTATGGACAGATAAATCAAATTTTTCAAATTCTGGAATGTTTAATAGAAAAAACCACCATTATTGGTCAAGAGAAAATCTTTTGTTAGTACATCCAAGAGGCCCACAAGTCCGTTTCAGTTTCAACGTTTGGTGCGGTATAATTGGTTCAAAAATTGTTGGCCCGTTCTTTTATGAGGGAACCCTAACTGGTGAAAGATATGTGGAATTTATGTCAGAAATTCTGACTAATTTCTTAGACGAATTGGATCTTATAAGTAGACATCATCTGCATTTTCAGCAAGATGGCGCACCTGCCCACAACTCCAGAGGTACTTATCATTTTCTAAGTACTACTTTTAATGATCAGTGGATAGGAACAAATGGCCCAATACAGTGGCCTCCCAGATCACCAGATCTAAACCCACTTGATTACTTCTTGTGGGGTTACTTAAAGAACCAAATTTACAAGCGAAGGTACGATAACCTTGACGCGTTAAAGACTGCAGTTAGGGAAAGGATAACCCAGATAGATGGTAGGACCATACTTAAGACAGTTCGAGCAGTTGAAAAACGTGCCCAAAAATGTATTGAAGAACAAGGTGGTGTTTTCGAGCATCTTCTTTAAAAAAAATTGTTATTGTATTTTGTAAGATTATAAGTTGATGTTGAAAATAAAGTTTGTCGATACAATTTAATTGTTTCAGATTGGAGGCCATAACTTCAACAATTTGTAACCTAGGAGAAAAGTTATTGTAAGCCTTTTTGTTTAAAATTTGATGCTTTAACAGAACAAAATATAATATACAGGGGTTTCCATTTAAAAAAATGTTATTTTACTGAAAAAAATCAAAATAACGACTCTCAATTGTTTTTTTTTATTTCTCATTTTTACCAGCGTTAAAAATGCTACTAGTTTGCTAATTCAAACAACTTTGTATTTTCACTAATAACAAAGTTACTAATGGTGGACACTCAATTTGGATAACCCTGTAGAGTATTCAAAAACGGAATACGGTCCTTCGTCCAATAATAACATATATACATAAAAAGGTATAGTTGAGGTTTACGATTGCAGTGTTTGAAATTGCCAAAATTTTCTCTGGTAACCTCGCTGCAACGTGATATAGAGAATAGAGAAAATTTTCGCGACGTTTTTTCCAAAAGGGGTCATGTTAAGAAATATGTTCAGCAACATTCTATATTATTAATTAACTTTATATTTTATATTAATAAATCTTTACCTTTTTCTGAAATAAAGGTGCACTATAAAGAATACGATAAATATTTTGTATTCCTTCTCTCAAGTTCATGAAGCCATGAATTATCTTTGAATTAGCGAATTTCCAAATTATATTTTCCATTTCCGTCGGGTTCTGTGGTCAAGAATCTAGATCAGTAACATGATTTTGGAAGTTCACAAAAAGACGCGTGCTTCAGAAACAGCTTCAGTCAATTGTGTCAACTTACTTATACTCTACTCTATATTTTGTAGGTACCGGTCTAGGTAGCGTGGTAATATCGTTCCTTCTATCAACGTATTATAGTGTAATAATAGCTTATGGAGTATACTACTTCTTCACCTCATTCCGAGCAAAAATTCCATGGGAAGGGTGTGGTCATACGTGGAATACCAGATACTGCTGGATGCCAAATTCCCATACCAACCAGAGTAAGCCGCGATATACGCAGTCGCCAGCTGAAGAGTTCTACGAGTAAGTAGTAAGATATGCGCCTTTAGAAATATCGGTTAGCTCGCCTATGCTCGCTGTTTTTGGAATTTAAAAGAAAACATGTCAAAATGAATGTGAATTTCAATAAAAATGCTTATCTGGTTGAATTAAAGCGCATATAGGTTTAAAATTCCTCTTTCAATCGTAGCGGTGACCTTTTCCGGGTATATTCAACCTTTGTAACATTATATTTTGCTTATCTGTCTTCCAGGTATCACTTGGTTTGTTTTTTATTTCATTTACACGTTCTTATTATAGCGTGTTACTACTATTCTAGCAACATTTACAGCTGAAAAGGCTATTTTGACATGGGAGTTAAGACATAGCTGCACAAAATCTTCATGAAACTTGTTCCAAATTAAGTACCATGAGAAATATGAAACTTCTGCCTCTCTATCTCAAAGACGGTGATTAAATTTGGGAGCGTTTACTCTCACTTCCTACGCCACTGGGCAAGGAAGTATTGTAATCTCGAAATTTTTTGAAAATGAGGTGCTGCGTTTTTTGGATGTTATATGACATGAACATCATAAAAAAACCATGTCACACATTTCCGTCAGTCTGTCTGATTGTCGGTATGTCTGTCCGCTAATCCTTGGTCGATCTATAACTTGGAAAGTATCACTCGGATTTTGATGAAATTTTCAAACAAGGCTGCTACTATACCAAGGACGAAAAACCTCTGTAGTTTTTGAAAATTGGTCTAGTGGCAGCGGAAAAAATAGTCTAAAGTGAAAATATAAAAATCGCTCAAACTTCGTTGCTTGACGTTTCAGAGGGTCCTGATCATTTTCAGAAAAATGTTGTAGGGGTTGAAATTGTGGGGTTGTGTATTGGAGGCGGTGGGGAAGGGTACCTATATGATTGGTAAGACTATACCTTAGCGCATATCGCAAATACTCCATTTCTTGCTTTAAAATGAAAGATTAGGGTGTAACTTTTACGAAAATATCATTTTTTCTTTAAGGAACCCTTTGCTTGCTATTTTATATAACTTCAAAGTTGCATTTTAGGTGTTACTACTGTGGTATAGAATACTGCTTTATAAGCTCTTTTTTTGTTTACACAAAAGCTTGCTCAAAATTATGTGAATATAACATACCCTGTAAATTACTGTGACACTGTTTATCGCAATAATGCAATTTATCATTATTTTAATTATAAAAATAGTTCTTTGTTGTAATTTTTTTTAGTTTAGACAAATATTCCCAGCACTGTTGCCATCTAGTTGCGATGTTGCCAAATCATGGATAGTAATATATCTTAATTTGATTTGTCAAATTCTTACTTAAATATTAGCGCAAAAATGTGCAGTCGGCACGGGATTGTCATGAAAATGCGATTTGGAGTTGTTCCTGGCAGGTTTTACTGTACTAAATCCACCTCGTGCCCGACGATAGCGTTAGAAGAATGCCTTATACCCTTCACAAAAGTACTTCGGATATATACTTCGCATTTATAATAAATTAAGACTATACTTTAGCGCATATCGCAAATACTCCATTTTTACTTTAAAATGAAAGATTAGGATGTAACTGTTACGAAAATATCATTTTTTCTTTAAGGAACCCTCTGCTTGCTATTTTATAGAAATTCAAAGTTGCAATTTTGGTGGTAATATTCTAGAATAGAATACTGTTTTATACCCTGTCTTTTTTTGCTTTTCGCATACAAAGATGCTCTAAATTATAAGAATATAACATACACTGTAAATACTAAGGAACATAGATGTAAAGCTGTAAAAATCGTTGTTTTTTGCAAAAAAAGGTTCAAAATCAGCCGTGACATTACACATTACCTTATTAGCTAAAATAACAGTTCAAAATACATGCGCAAATGATGATATTTACTTTCTAAAATATGTAGAGGTGTTGTGTTATGATTTTTCAATGCCTTCTTGAAATTCCTTAACAATTTTTTCGCGAATTTTCAATGAGATCAAAGTTTTTGCGTTTATGAGAAATATTTGAAAGTACGAACAATCCTCAATGGCCATTTTATAACGTTAGTTTCTTGACAGATAGGATGAATGATATCCATTGTTGTCAACTTGTACCATTTTTGCGAGAAATACGTAAAAAAATATGAGGTTATTTGCAAAATGAGTCTTAATTTATTGTAAATGGCTTGTTTTATCAGAAGTTGTCCCAATATTTACCGAAAACTGGATGAAATTTTGAACACTATGCGTGTCTAAACAGCGGGAATGCACCAGTGACTCGCGTGACAAAAAATACAAAATGCACCAGCGGTCATTGCATATAGAAATACTCAACTTCGATTCGTCGATTGGGACCACCTCGCCAGGTCCACCTAACATATCATCGTCCAACATTATAGCTAAATAAAGATCAGCGATCATTTTATCATCAAGAAACTTGCAATGTTAGGTATATTTTGTGACATCTGGTTTACTTTAAATAATTCTTCAAGTGCATACATACAAAAAGTAAATACATTATAAGTATAATATAGGAAAAACAATATCCGAAGTACTTTTGTGAAGGATATAAGGCATTCTTCTAACGCTATCGTAGGGCACGAGGTGGATTTAGTACAGTAAAAACTGCCGGCCACAACTCCAAATCGCATTTTCATGACAATGCCGTGCCGACTGCACATTTTTGCGCTAATATTTAAGTAAGAATTTGACAAATCAAATTAAGATATATTACTATCCATGATTTGGCAACATCGCAACTAGATGGCGACAGTGCTGGGAATATTTGTCTGAACTAAAAAAATTACAACAATGAACTATTTTTATCATTAAAATAATGATAAATTGCATTATTGCGATAAACAGTGTCACAGTAATTTATTATATTCAAATAATTTTGAGCAAGCTTTTGTGTAAACAAAAAAAAAAGCTTATGAAGCAGTATTCTATACCACAGTAGTACCACCTAAAATGCAACTTTGAAGTTATATAAAATAGCAAGCAGAGGGTTCCTTAAAGAAAAAATGATATTTTCGTGCAAGTTACATCCTAATCTTTCATTTAAAAATAAGAAATGAAATATTTGCGATATGCGCTAAAGTATAGTTCAGCCATATGTTTTTTTATCTTATATTTATATTCTCCCATCCCCTGTGAATCTATGGACCTATTAGCTATATTTCACATACCAGATTTCTCCGTACATTTTGCCTTTAAAACTAAGAATGCAATTTTTTCGATCTGCGTACTCCTGCTATCTAAGCTCACCACCCGGCGAACCGGTTCGGCTGACTAATCTATCTGTACTACGCAAAAAATGCACGGACGATGCACGAAATGAACGATAACTCGCTGTAACGATGGCGCGCCGGGCGCTGCCGCGCTATTGTGGGAACGTTGCCGGACTGGCAGCAACTACCGATAGGGCAAGGCAAGGTAAGATTGCCTATCGACTAATTGTGTGGGCCTGTTTGACTGACTTAGTCTATTTAATTTCTCTGTTGTACATGTTAGCGATTAACCTTTTCTCAGAGGATTTATATTGCGCTGAACTTAATCCTGATGACAGCGTTGCGTAGGAAGTGCAGGGCCAATTTACTTGACGCCATTGTTTTATTTCATTAGATTATCAAATACTTCCTGGGGTGGTAATAAAACTTACTTATTGAAAAACGATAGCCAGAGGACTGCTTTATCTTGATTGAATTCGTCGGTACAATTCAGGCACTGGATCAACAGCTTTGAGATCGTAGCGGGATTTTATAGCAGATAGATATTACTATTGGCAGTAGTGTCTAGTAATACCTTATACCGTGGATATAAATGATACTAAACATTTCTACTGCTTTCGGTTACACCATTTTATGCATTTTATTTCAGCCGGAAAGTGCTACAAATTAGTTCTGGAATCGAAGATTTCCTAGGTATGAGATGGGACTTGGTTGCGTGCCTCATCTTCGCCTGGATTTTGGTATACTTTGCAATTTGGAAGAGTATAAAATCTTCAGCCAAAGTTCGATACTTCACTGCTACATTCCCATTCGTTATAATAGTAATATTGCTCATAAAATCGCTAACCTTGGAGGGAGCTGATAGAGGAATGAGGTACTTTTGGAGGCCAAAATTTGAACTTCTCTTAGATGCGAAGGTGAGTTAGAATTTGACTCAGACTCAAGAACCAAGACCGTAAAACCTTGTCCCGGTTTTAAGCTCCAATTTTCGTTTTTGTCTGTCTGTTCTATACCTTGAAAAGTATCGCTCTGATTTTGATGAAATTTTGACACAAGGTTACTACTATGCGAAGAACATTATATTCGTCGAAAATCGATCTAGTGGAGGCAAAGTAAGAAAAAAATCAAAATATTAAATGTCCCTCAAACTTCGTTTCAGAGGCTCCTGATCTGTAGGGGTAAGAAATTGAGCGTTGGGGATTGTAGAACGTGGGAAAGGGTATATCTCAATTTTTTGGGCTTATACGCTGCCAGCACTGGTAACTTTGCACACCTATTAGATAAATTTCACACATCATAGATTTGCTCATAAATTATGCTTTTGAAACTTGAATGATTGAGGAATATTTTCAACACACGGGTCGCAGCATCGCAGCAAACGTAGATATACTAGGTTAATCATTTCAGTGTTGACAGATGCTAGATATTGTCAACAGGGTAGGGAAGACATTTATAGACTGCAATGTTGTCATATGGGTGGGGACTATGGACTAGTTCTATCAATCCGTACCCGTATTACGTAACTTAAAAGAGTACCATCGATTTTTTATCACATTATGTAGGTTTTCCGATAAAATGTCACCTTTGATCTAGTCATAATGCTCACTTGTAGTGGGTACGGAATCACCTTTGATCTAGTCATAATGCTCACTTGTAGTGGGTACGGAATAAACTAGCAGCTACCTAGAGCACAAGTTGATATTTGACAGAGTTTTTGACATTATATTGGTTTTTTACTGCTTCTTTATTTCCTAGTAGGTACATATTTTCATCCTACAGTAAACAAATCTGATCACTCTAAATGGCTTTCAAGAAAATCCTAATGTCTGTCTTATTCCGTTTAAAGAGGCGTTCTTTAATTACCTCCGGTATTCAGGGTTGGGGGTTTTCCGGCGAGAAACATAATAAAATTTCAAAACAATTGGAATAAAAAGAAACATGTTTATCAGTTAAAATATAGGAGAATGCGACTCAACAATCTTTCTTGTGGTTGAATACTCTTAACTAGCTTTAAATAAAGATAACAAAACATTCTGCTTTTTTTAATTAAATTCAACGTATTTACACTAAAAATAGGATTTTTGAAAAATCTCAAGTGCGATTATGGACGAGGGAGAGGATCGAGCCAAATTTGACGACATCAATAAATCGTTAAAACCGCCCCACGTAATTAATATTATATTTTTATGTTAAGGTCGTATGACTTGAAAACTTTTTTGATAACAGTGAGACGCCATTTTCATTTCTTCTCACGCCATGAACATTCTAGGTCTGGGTGAACGCAGCAAGTCAAACGTTCAACTCAATGGGCTGCGCCTTTGGCTCGATGATTTGCTTTGCCAGCTACAACAAATACAACAACAACATCCTTCAAGATACAATAGCTGTTTGGCTTGTGAATGGAATCACTAGTCTAGTGGTCGGCGTGTTTGCCTTCGCTACCATAGGTAACATTGCTACTGAACAGGGAACGTCCATAGAAGATGTTATAGATGATGGTAAGATTTACAATTCTGGATATTCCTTTGAAATCAACCGAAAGGAAGCCTATTGCGGTATAATATCGAAAGAGATCGGAATACAGATTTAAGTTATAGTATTAAAATTTTCATAAAATAATCAAATCGTCTACAGAGCCAATACAAACATCCAATACTGGCATAGTATTCTTACATCCAAGGATCTTCGACACAAAACAAGGTTTCAGGAAATTATTCGTTTTATCGGTTTAAAATGACACATTCAAGCCTGATGTTTTGTTTTTTTAATGGACTTATCGTCATCTACTATTTTTCACTTGGCTTCCCTCCTCGATCTAGGCCTGGGTTGTGTGCATTTTGCAAATAAAGACTACCAACGTAAGTTAATTACCAGGGACCAAGGTAGGCTTAAATGCTATGTTCAAACACATATACTATAATGTATTCAGATCTCAGTACGTCCCGTCAAAACAAACGCCAGCGCTCGATCTCCGAATTTACGCTGTCCTATTGTCCTATTGGCCGGCTCGCCAGAAGTGCCTGGGCGTAGCAGCGACAAGACGTGGCGATCGAGAGGTCATGTTTCTTTTGATGGAGTGTGAATGAGACTTAAATACATTATAGTAGATGAAATACGTATCGACACACTTGGCGACACCAACGCAAATAAAGATTGCACAACCTTTTTTTTTTCAAATTCAACCCACTTGTATTGGGAATAATTACTTTTTGTTTAACGGTATCTTGCCTGTCTCCAATTTATTGGACTTCGTTGGTTTTGTAAATCTAATTGAAATAATAATAATATAAAATATATTTGCTGACCTTTGGCCCGTCTTTAAGTTGGAAAGTACAAGTATAGCTCGGATTTCGATGAAATTTTGAGAAAAGACTACCACTGCGCCAAGGATAAAAAATCTGTGTAGATTTTGGAAATTGGTTTAGTAGCGCTGAGGCTAGGGGTAAATATGAAAAAAAGAAAGTTGCTCAAACTTCGTTTTTTGATGTTTGCCGATAGTCAGGTTTCGATTTCATTAGAGACTCTTCGGTAAACCTGACTTATACTTCTTTTGTAAGATATGTGTAGCTACCACTACCACAACTTGCTGCACGTTATCTAGTCATGTAAATGTCATCTAACCTGTTATTAAGTTGGTGAACCCTGCACATCAAGTTCAATTACTAGAACCGATTATTTAACCATACATAGCAGATTTGGAGATGAACTGAACATTTAATTGATGACTAAATTTCGTGAAAAGGACCAAGTCAACCTGCTTGATGCCAGTTTCTAGCGAGAGAGAGTCTAAATGAATTTCCCGTATCAATATCCTACGTATTTCTAGGACTTCAAAAGCTGTTGTAATATCTCAATGCCTTAAGTCCTGAGCTTTATTGTCCCTGTAAAATGGCCGATAGAAGCGCTGGCCTCGTACTTAGACATGGAGGGAAATTCAAATGACAAGACTGGAAAAAGTGAATGAGGTTTTGTAAAATGCTGAAATAATGTCTAATATTTAATGAAGGTGCTTTCTTATGTTCATTCCATCTGTCGAATGGGATACTTATTTAGTCGCTTCAACTACTTCAAGCAGGTTGATTATAAACTCTCCACGACATTATGTCAAATTTATTTTCAGGTTTAAAGATAGCAAGTCTAACAGGTGCGTAGTATCACCGATACCCAACATGCAATAATTACAATCCCCTGATTGACCGAATCCCTAATACGGTATTCAACCCGTCGAAGACAAAGGCAATTGTTTTTGAGTCATTGGGAAACGAAGCTTAAAGGATTCCTATTTTTTTCTTTATTAGCCCATAGCTCTGACAGCATAGGACCAATTTCCAATAACCAGCATTTTCGGCCTTGTTAAGAGTAGTGATCTTGTAACAGCGAAAGTTGAGCAGCACTTTTCGAGTTATAGTGGGATCAACGATTAGCAAACGGACAGACAGACCCACGGAAATGAGTGACATGATTTTTCATGATGTGAATGTCTTGTAACATCCTAGAATATTCTATTAGTTCAACTGTCACAAATGGTTTGAGAAATTTCGTTTTTATAGGTGGACTAATAATTCTATAGGTTTGGCATATCTATCATTAAGCTCTCTTTAATTGTATATCAGTTGCATTTTTCTCCATGTCGAAATACAATACTAGCGTTCCAAATGGCCATTATACAAAGTCAGTTAAAAAAAGTATGTAAGTGCCCCCAAAAGCATTTCTCATGAATTGTGGACAACTAAGTATCAATATCTACTTTTATTAAATTCAAACAAGTAACTTTTAGCACACTTTTGTTTTGTAATCCTAATAAATGAAACTCTGGAATTCATTGTTTATTCTAAAATTTCACCATATTGACATACGAATATAAAGTATAGTCCACCTACTTGACCAATAATCTTAGCATGTTCTGTTATATAGGTCCCGGTTTGATATTTGTGGTCTACCCGCAAGCGATGGCCAAAATGCCCGCCAGCCAGTTGTGGGCAGTATTCTTCTTCTTCATGTTGATATGCCTGGCGCTGAACAGCCAAGTAATACAACTAATCGTTTGTATGATCAACGGCTTTATAAAATTTCATTAAGAATACTTTTTTAGTTCGCCATCGTTGAAGTGGTGGTGACGTCAATTCAAGACGGCTTCCCTGGGTGGATCAAGAAGCATCTCATGGGACACGAGATACTAGTGCTGATTATTTGTATTGTGTCTTTGCTATGCGGCATTCCATGTGTTACCAAGGTTAGTATCATGACGTATGTGCTTCTTGTGCATTAAACCTTGTTATATGCAAGAATATATAAATATGCGAATGAAATATTAAAATATCATGAGAGAGGTGTCACTGAAGTGTTATGTAAGTTTAAACAATATATAGAAGTTAAAAAGTTACTTAAGTAAGAGGTAGTGCCTCCAACTGAGCAAACGGAACGGAAGACACTTGTATGACAAGGCGTCGGATACCACAAACAGTACATCTTACATGATGACTTACTTGCGTGCAACCAAAACCTACGATTACCGTGAGTGTATATGCCAGCTTTAAAGCTTTAAGGCAATACCAACATGTCACTGATAACTTTGTTGATGAAATATAATAGAAGTGACACCATATTATCATAACTGCAGCTCCGTTTCCGCGGAAAAGTTCAGACCATTAGGCTAGAATAGTATTTTGTTTGCATACATTTTTTTACCCTATACATTTTAAAATTAAAGCAACAATATAATGATCGCATTTTTCCTATATTTGATACCCTACCGTTGCGACCATGTTATTCTGAATTATTATTTCGACCCTACTGTGTTTCACGCTTTCGTTATATTTAGCATAAGGTTCATAGACTTTACTCGAAATCAATCAGCGATCTTCAGACTTCACAGAGCTTGTTACTGTAATGACCAAGTTCAACCGAGTTTATTGATGCATTTAATTTTAATGATGTCTTTGAATCCCTAGCTCTGCTATTGTTACTTAGAAGCGATTTAATGAACATTTTCAATTAAGCATTCTTCAATTAATACCAAATAATCTGTAGAAGACCACGCAAATTAGATATTCAGATTCAGAAAATTTAAAAACTGTGTATTCTTGCTTCCGTAAGCAAGACAAAACCTGCATGATCATGTTGATTTTAGACGGATATACATATATCTTTACGTACACAGTAATTCCTGCACCATAAAGCTTGTCAGCCATTTTTTTGTGAGTAAAAGCTAATTAGTTATTAACTATCCAGTCCTTATCTGTACAACTACGTCTAATTATTTTGATATAACGGGTGATACCCTTGTTTGTTAAAATGTTTTTTAAACATCATTTTGTGGCTATTTCCGAAAAACCTACTAGCTTGATAGGCACGTGGTCAGCACTATTGTCAAATAATAATAGGTGTTATAAGCAAAAGTGTGAAAAAGTGTGAAAACCCAAATTTATTAGTTCACACTACTCAAGTGGAACACGTGAAAGATCTGAGATATCTGATAACAGAAACCGCTACTTTTGAATAGATTGATCGACTGCATCTTTCCAAATAAAGGGGTTCCTCGAAAATCATCTAACGAAAAGTCATATGAATCACTCCTCAAGCCTCCTATTGCCCCATACTTGGGACACACTGTGTATAATTGGATGATTACCACATCTAAGTCTATTTAAAGAAAGTCATGTTCAATGCCCACGATTGTTTCAATCAAAATCCGAAGACGAAATATTTTGCCCTAAGCCAGTTCTCCACAATTTTTACAGCATAGTGGGGAGTTGATGCCACATATCATGATGTCCATGGAAAGCAATTATCTCATTAATATCGCCACTTATATCATTATGGACGCAGTATTGCTGTTTTACTTCCCACGACAATAATTGACGAAAGAATCTTAATAATGAGGTATGAGGTATATTCCGTCGGTTCATCTGTCTGACTTTTTGAAACCTCTATACCTTGAAAGGCACTATTCGGATTTTGTTGTAACTGATATTTTTTCATAATTGATCCAGTGCCGGTAGAACTACGGGCAGGAAACTAAAAAAGCAAAAATCGCTTTTTCGTCGTGTTTTGACGTTTCATCGACTCCTGCTCATTGAAGTGTAGAAATTAGGGCTGGTTGGTAGCTGGGGATGGGGGAGGACATGTCTCAGTCTTTAGCGTTAGTATATTTATACGCTTCTAACTCAGGTACAGTTGTAGTCACCGTTCTTGGCGGATCAAAGTAAGACTACCAGTATCCCTTTATACAGGGTGTTTCAGTTTATTGTTGCATAACTTTAAGATTCGATAGAACTTTTAAAATTAATGCATAAAGTCTATATAAACATGGGTCGAAAAATGCGTGGCTTCCGAAATACAGGGTGTTTAAATTTACTTTCTGAAATAGTTTTTTTTTAATATTTGATGTATAACAGTGAAAATTGGTATACAAGGGTTTTTTGGTACGACAAATTGAACCATGGGCATAGTTTTACTGTAGCCGCTAGAGGGCGCTCTCTACTGTACCTATAGTGTATTAAAATGACCGAAAAATTTTTCTTAGTGCGATTTTTTGCTTTTTGAATAAAAAAACTGATTATACGCACTTTTCAACATAAAAAAGCTCTCCTGTGAGTTTTCGTTATAGTTAGCCGTTTTTGAGATATTTCGATTTTTAAGGTTCGATGCATTTTTAATTATTTATGGGAAAATAATATTTTTTTTTACATTTTCGATTTGGGCATTACAAGTAATTAAGATGATCGCTTAGATTGTGTTTTTAAACACAGCAATAATTCCTAACTCCAAACAAACACAAAAAACAGAATATTAATTTGTTTAATTTTACAATATTATTTTTAACAAATTAAATTAATTATTTACAACTAAAATGCTATTAGATAGTTAGGACAAACACACAAAATCTAAAGTAGTTGCTCTAAATGTAAACCCAATTGTTCAATACACAATTCACATCTACGAATGATCGAACGTGGTATAGCATTATTCAAATAAGGCCTTATTTCATCACATGCATTCGTGATTCTGTCTATTAGCATATCTCTTGTGGTTACGGGAGTTTGGTACACTTTTTCGTTTAGAAATCCCCACACAAAGAAATCTAATGGATTTAGGTCAGGGGATCGTGGAGGCCAGGCGACTGGTCCTCCACGGCCGATCTATCTTTCTGGTTAATTTTCGTCCAGCCAGTTTCTAACTATTCTCGAATAATGAGCTGGACAACCATCAAGCTGGAACCAGGCCAATCTTCTTAAATCTAACATAACATCATCCCACATATTTGCATGTTCAGCCTTTAGAAATTCCAAGAAGGTCGCAGCCCAACTAGCAAAGTAGTGCTATACGCTTTTGGTAAAAGAACTGTTCAGCCGTAAAAGCTCTCTATTGTTGTTGCCCGAACACCAAAATGCTGGCTTAATGTTGTGTGGAATGCAAATTTGCTTTCTGCAGCATATTTACTCTAAAATGAGGTGTTTAAAATATTCTTATAGCATAGTTATACAACACCTTATAGGACTAATTTTGAACGGTTGCATAAACGTTTCTACAACTATTTTATATGGCATATTTGCGCGGTAGTGAAAATAGTTGTGTTGTGGCATCCATGGTAACGTTTATACAACAAACCCGAGCCTTGTTGTATTTACTACTTTAGCCAACAAATTTCTCCCAACGGAAGCACTTACACAACTATCGTTTAGTAACTGTTAAATGTTGTACATCTGCAACAATATTACAACTTTTATAGTACAAAATTGCTGTGCTCGGCAGACATTTGTTGCTAAATATGCTGGTATACAACTTCACCATAACCTAACTTTTTGCTGTCATCTTTTTAGTTGAAATGCCATAGCCAATATTCTAAGACATGCATATTGGTTTAAAAGGTTTTATCAACTGTTCAAACAGGAGATATAGATCTGGTAGAAATTCTGGGTAAATCATTCGACTCTGTCCGTATTTCATCTTAGAGACTTGTTAAATTGTTGTATAACACTTGCAGACAACACCAAAATATTCTGATAAACGAAAGACAACATGGAAGATGCCATGATTATCTTCGAAGTTGAGTCATTTATTTTAACAGTGAGTAGATCTGATCAAAAGAAATGTTTTTTCCTTTACCATTTTTCTGGTAAAATTAAAGTAACAAAGTTATAGCCCTTTGGAAGTTTGAGTACCGCCCTGTCTCAATAATAATATTATGTGCTCGTGTTTGGCAACAACGGATATAATCCGCCTTATCGGTTCATCGCATCGGAAACAAAAAAGCGAAAGAATTTGGAACGATGGTTTTACAATTATTTTATTCAGTTGTATACAGTCAGTATCAGTCGGTAACGCGTGAGTGAATAGTGGTGTCTGTTGCGTGGCTCAAACGAAATCAAAAATGGCACATGTTTACGAAAATGCTGAACTTGTGGACATGATTCTTATTTATGCGGCATCACGGATTTATGCGGATCGGTTTCCCAATCGAGTGCAACCAACCTCTCGTGCCTTTGTTAATGTAGTACAAAGCGCTCGTGAATCAGGTGACTTAAGACCTCACAGGGGAGGGCATGCCGGTGCTCCAAGACCGCACGATCAAATACAGGTCCGCACTGAAATACTTGTCGGGAGGATACTTTATAAAACAAGGTAACATTTTTTTTTAATTTTTTTTTTATTTTTACACACATATTTTGGTTTATCTTCCTTCTACAATCATTATCTGAAAATTAATGACTCAACTTCAAAGTCACCCTGTATATACCCGCCATATTGAGCAAACATATATTCCTCTATTGAAAAATAATTAATTATGTTTCAGTTCGACATTACAGATATAAAGTGATAAACGTTAGTGTAATTGTGTCTAAATATAGGATTTGTGGAAGATTTAACGTAGATAAGTTTAGTTATTCATCTTAAAAATCTAAACATACTTTTGATCATTATTAAAATATGATTAAAATACGAAGCCCGTACAAATCGCGTTACTACTTTGCACGATAATTACAATAAAATTTGCTTCGCAAGTAATTCAATAGCCCTATATCACCGTGTAGAAGTTTATCATATACCTCTGTGTATGAAATTCACAATGGCCGATATGTAAGTAAACAAGATGACTGTAATGTGTAAGTTATCGCCTATACAGTACATAAGACATATTTTGGTTGCAATAAAGTAGAATCATGTAACAGAATAGTTGTATAGTTGACCAACACTGAATCTTGCACCGACGCAAATGTTCTATAGCGGCTGCAAGAGGTTTACACTTTTGTTGTATACCTGTTACCTGCAGCCCTAATACAACCTCTTAAATGACTGAAGTGTCCTATTAGGTGTGCCCATTTCATGTGTATAGCTGTTCTAAGAGCGTTTTGACAATGTTCTTACAGCATACAATGCTGTGTAAGGTAGGCTGTATAATCGTTCTTGCAACTCTAATAGGAGTGATAATTGTTAGTTGGGAGCATTTAACCTTGCAGGCAAAATGTAGGGTCCAAATAGTCGATTACGGTAGATACCAATCCACACGTTTACACTAAATTCATGCTGAAAATTTCTTTCCCGAACGGCATGCGGATTTTCATGCGACCAAATCTGTTGATTATGAAAATTTACCACTCCACGTCTAGTGAAGCATGACTCATCGGTCCATAAAACGTTACTTAAAAACTCCGTATTATTATCAGTTCTATCAAGAATCCACTGACAAAATGTGTTTCTTCGTTCTCCGTTCCCTGGCTGTAGTCCTTGCACAGGTTGCAAATGGTAAGGACGTCTATGGTCATTTCTAAGAACACGGTGAACATGGCTTGCTGAAATTCCCAAGGCACCAGAAACTCTCCTAACACTTGTGGTCGGATCTCTATCAAACTCACACAGAATCATACGGGTAAATCTGCGCTGACGAACATTTATGTTTTGATCCCTTTGGAGATTTCCAAAACCATTTTCAATTATTTGGCGATGCACTCTTGCAAATACTGAGCGAGTTGGATGCCGTCTTACAAAAAAAAAAACAGGTAAAAGAAACTAAATTTCGTGCATTCACAATTGCAAAAAAACGTCTCAGGTTTCAACAGACAACAAAACTAACTGTCAACTAATTGACGTTTAACCTTATTCTGCTTTCAATTTCAAAAATATTTGCAGGCACAGCCTACTTCTAAAAATTATCGAGATACTGACTGTTTAACGTTATTTTATCATAATTAATTAAAAATGCATCGAACCTCAAAAATCGAAATATCTCAAAAACGGCTAACTATAACGAAAATTCACAAGAGAGCTTTTTTATGTTGAAAAGTGCGAAGAATCATTTTTTTTATTCAAGAAGCAAAAAATTGCACTAAGAAAAAATTTTCGGTCATTTTAATACACTACAGGTACAGTAGAGAGCGCCCTCTAGCGGCTACAGCAAAACTATGCCCATGGTTCGTTTTGTCGTACCAAAAAACCCTTGTATACCAATTTTCACTGTTATACATCAAATATGGTTCGAAATATTTAAAAAAAAAAACTATTTTAGAAAGTAAATTTAAACACCCGTATTTGGGAAGCCACGCATTTTTCGACCCATGTTTATATAGACTTTATGCATTAATTTTAAAAGTTCTATCGAATCTTAAAGTTATGCAACAATAAACTGAAACACCCTGTATATCTCCATCTCCCTCGAACATAAACATGCAACCTATCCCTGTGTGTGAACGTTTGCTTGGTAAGCTCAAAGATAAACGTTTTTTAGTTGTGTATCTCCGTCTCGAAACCATATTGCTCAGAGTGAAAACTTAATTCTCATCGGCGGGGGATCCGAGTTGTCCTGTTATCAATCTTCAATATAAAATTGTATAGTGCCCGGAAATACGATCAATAGAAAAAGCCGACAGCTCGTGCTAAGTTTATTGGAGTATTTCTAGGAAGAGAATGAAAACAGCGGTTCCCTGTTACCCACTTCATGCGTACTGGAGAGAGTAGCAGATGCTCTGAAAATTAGTCTGCGCAGTATTCCGCTCATGGTACGGAGACTTGATCTGTTTACTTATTTCATATGGCGTTGATGACGTAACCGCCAGGAACGGTGACTACAACTATAATTATATATATCATTGAATATTTGTCCTTAGGATTTGAGACTTAAAATGACATATGCTGGATGCTCGCATCGAGCGCAAGCAAAATAGAAGTTAAGCCTGTCGCGGGCTAGCCGCTAAGCTGGTGGCTTAGTGATCGCAATTCTGATTAGAAGGTCGGCAATGCTTCTCGAATGGGTTTGATCTGGATAGTAATTGTATGTGTATTGTATTAAACTGACATGATCACTTTATTTTTTTGTTATATATGGTCATAGCTGGCTTTATTCTAAACGGGGCTTACTTGGGCCGAATATACTATTTATGAACTAATGAAAGCGTTACGTGGAAAGTGCAGAGTCAACCTACTTTTTAATGGTCCTATAATATCCACCTCGCTAGAAATTCGATTACGGTTATATTAAATGATTATATCTTCAGTTCCTATGGGAAATATTTCCTTATATTATACTTTTAGGGTGGGATATACTTCTTCCAGCTGATAGACCATTACGCAGCGACGATATCCATAATGTACTTGGCGTTCTTCGAAGTGATAGCTATAACATGGTTTTACGGAGCATTCAAGTTGTGTAGAAACGTCAAAACCATGACAGGCAGACACCCAGGGATGTACATCAAATTTTGCTGGTTAATAGCGACACCCTTGATGATATTCGCCCTTTGGGTGTTTCTGATTATAGACTACGAACCACCAACTTACAACAATGGGCGGTACCACTATCCGGCATGGGCGATTGCTATTGGCTGGGTTATAGCATCATTGTCAATATTCTGTATACCTATTTACATGATGGTGGTCTTTCTGAATGCCGAAGGCTCTAGCTTTATGGAGGTGAGTACTATCATCAAATCATATAAATACACTAAGGGGTAAACTAACAGCACATACCGTTTTGGTCTAATTCGGAAAGTAAAATTTTTTGGTAATTCACACTGTAAAAAAAATCGCAGCTACATTTTTTTTCACTAACTCATCTTGACTTGAAGGTTGTCATTTCAATTGTAAGAGAGGAAGGAATGAGAAAATTGAAACAGATCACAGTAAACAAACTTTGCTTGCAACAGCCATAAAACATGGAACCGGTCAATTATCATGAAAATTCATATAGTAATAGTTCATATTGTGCTGATCAAGTATACCAGTAGGTGCAAAGCCCAGGAATCTCTTCTTTTGGTGTCTTTGACCCTATTGTCAAGCCTGACTGTACCATTTTACGAAGGCTAGCTCGCCTTTATTGTAGACTTAACAGTAAAATAAAACAAACGCATGACCACGTTTTAATAAAGCAGTTTCAATCTGTTACGATACAATTTTTTATTAAAATTGACCGGTGGTCAAATTCCGTATGTTTTGTGCCTGGTACTCTCTGTATTCTCACTTCAGATTACCATTAAATGTATAAAAACATAGGAAATAGTGCTTGTCACATGCGTACGTATTTTATCGCTAGGGCTCGTGTGATATCCCCCTTTGTCCGGTATGCTCCTATAACCCCACAATACCTACGGGTGCTTAGGCATTTGGATTGATCCTAGTATAAGAAAAACAAAGTACATAAAGGTACATACGAGCCTCGGAAGTGGCCGAAAGTCCTGAAGAGTGACGACGACTTTAGACACTAGCCCACAGTCGTACGAACCCCCAATTCACTTAGCATTGTCTATTCCACAAGAATGTCTTGCAGGAAACGACGTCTAGTGATGGATATATCAGTAGATACCTGTTCGTTTATCTGCGCACGTTCAAATGCTCGAAATGGACATTTCTGCAAATAAAATGATGATGATGCTCTTTGTCTCATATCAAATTTGTAGAGGAACGAAAATGTTATGGGTCGAATTATTTATAGGGTAATATGAATCTAATTCTGATTGAAACATCAAAAAAGAAAACGAAGCCAACAAATAATTGCGAAATCGTACAATGACTCTTGCCTTTGTCTCATATAAAAAACAATGAAGTCAACAAATAATTGCGAAATGATATGGCTCTATGACTTTTTCCTCATATCAAATTTGCCGAGTAACGAGAATGTTATGGGTCGAATTTTTTATAGGGTATAGTAGGTTTAATTCTAATAGCAACAGAAAAAAAAACGAAACGAAGACGTAAAATAATTGCGAAAACGTACAGGAACTTATGATTGAGTCACTAAGGTACATGGGTTGAAATTGGCAATGCTGCTGTAGATACAGCTTCCTCGCCTGGCATCGAGCACTTAGGAATGCAGCAGTTGCCACTTTTTTGTTCTGGCATAGCATTAAGAATAGCTGCTGCTGTGGATACCCTTTCACCTATTAACTTGTACGTACAACTTTTATGTGTTTAGTAATGTACCAGCTGGCACTTTTTTGCATTAGAATCTCCACTAGCAATATTTAACCTCAAAAGCTAAAAGTTAGCTGTAAGTGTTGTCGGTTCATTGTGTTGCACATATAGCTATTTTTTTATTGGCCGTATCTGCTTGACTAAGCTGACGAAATCATATTTTCACGAAATTGTCTGTGAATACGGAGTAACTGTTAACGGTTATTTAGTAAACGGAGTCCAAAGATTCAAACTTCGGATGCCTTTTTCTCAGTTTCCGCATAACTGCAGATACCTGCTCTCTAGTTAGCAGTAATAGGATTGCACACTCTTTGGCGCCCCCTTTTCTTCTCTATTTCGATTAGGATTAGATTATATACTGTATACCACATTTTCTCTTCTTAATTCACTGTTAAACATAGAAGACTTGGGTATTTAATACGGAGCGATACAACAAACATCATCAATTTAACAGTATCAAAGGATCAGGAACTCTAAACGGGGTTTTCAGCCCTAGAAACAGCTCAAATTTTAGGTTGATCGCATATATGATATTTTTGTATTTTGTATGTAGAACATAATATGTATTTTAAAATTTCATCTACATTCTACTTAGTTAATAATTTTGCTCAAAATTCACCTATATTATAAATGTGGATATGTGTACCTCTGTCCGCATCAACCACAATAAGGATAAAAAATAAAATATCTAAATGCATACATTTCATAGATGCGATCGGCTTCAAAATTTGAGTTAATTTCACGGCGGCCTTATAGAATCTGATTCTTTTGTTCTGAAAATTATCGGTTAACCTACCTGATGCCTCTTTCTTATTAAACGTGTCACTTTCATTTTGTTTTCCAGAAATTGAAGAACTCTATTAGATCCGATCTGTTAGACAAGTGCCCAGAATGCAGTCAGATGGATTGCGAGTGTGTTCTGAAAGAAAATGAAGCCAGCCCAATGCTGGTAGTACCCAAACCACAAGAGATCATCAAAGGGTCCACCAGACTGTACGAAAATGCCCAGAACCCGCAAGGTGATGGTAGTGTACAGAAACAAGACGAAGATCCGTTTCCCAGTGAAAGAAATGACAGCATGACTCCTAGCGAGTATGACAACTTGCACGAAGGAAGAAACGAAACTAAATGAATTTAACTTATAACCACATTCCAATTGGCTCAAAATGCGGAGGTAGCTCAAACTCTAGTAGGTTGATAATATGTATTAAATTATTAAGATTGCAAGTGAAAAGACATTTTACAATTTTATGTTTTTCTTCAAGAAATATTTCTTACCTTCACCACAGGTATTAAAGTTTTGTTATGATCATTTTCCTTGCTATTCCGTTGTTTTTGTATAGGAGGGCTGTCTGTAGGAATTTTTAATCCGTGAAGGTGAAGCTTTTAGATCCTTGCTTTGAGAAGTTTCTCATTCTTAAATCAATGTCCAAATTTTTGTTGGTTAAGGAAGCCGATATCAGCTATCTTTGCTTCTGCTCGGATAATTTTTTTTTCGATGGTCCCATCAGCAAGCGAAGCTATGGCTCATTTTCTTTTTCTTCAATATCTGGCCTATATTTATGATGCAGGAAAGGCTAGACGGCAAAGTACTTTTGCTGATTTTATGCTTATATTCGCTTACACATACTCGAAACTGAATTTAAGATACTGGCACAAAAATTTTGACACCTGATTCCCCTTCAATTTTCCATGGCTGAAAGGAATCAGATACAGTAGATGTTCGAGTAAGAATAAGCCTACAATCAGTATCTAATTGTACAGTTTGAAAAAATATTTTCCACCTCTTACTTCCTAATATTTCTAGTTTCTTGCGGTTTAACGTAAATTTATACTTACGAAAACGTAATTCTCAATACCATCCTTATATGACTGTAGTATTATTAAAGTTCAAATAGTATACGTATTAATTAAAGAAAAACATGATCGAAAGTTCAAAGTAATTGCTGTTGTTCCACTATACCTATATAATTAAACATCATCCTTATTACCGTTAGTTGTGTATATCTACCAGATGACATGTGATATTTAAGAGATAAGATATCGAGCAATAAATCCGATAATTGAAAGCAAGAAAGTTAACTTGATTTATTTGTAATAAACCTCTAACTGGGACTTTCCGAAAGCAAATCAGGATATAAAGCATAGTGAAGCGGATTATCTCGCCGCAATGCTTATCACTATCTTTACTAAGAACGCTCCCGACTCAATTGAAAGCTGTCTAGTTCACTAACATTGAGGATGACATATCAGTCATGTGTTCAACAAAGAGCAACTATGAAAAGGACAACAATGCCATGCTGGTAAACTTTAATATCTAGGTACGTGGCGAGCTAAGCTATTGCAGTATGTTAGTGCTGTAAGATATCTGTGAATGTTCACCTAAACAAATGACAGTACCTGCAGTAATCCTATTCATCTATAGTATGCCAATCGTCAATGAGGTAAAGGAACCTTTTTCAATGTACGGAAGTTCTTGGCGATCTTTTCATATATAGTCTTTCAAGCTTGTTTGACTCATTCATTCAAAGTAGGGTAGGATGATGAGTGATTGATTTAAGGGTTCTATCTGCCTTTTTATGTATCTTAATTTTGAACATCATATATAATTCATAGTGACTGACGCTGTGAAACCGATATTTGTTAATTTGTTAATATGTATTTGAAATACCGTGAGCGCACATTTCTTAAATAATTTTCTGGTGATCTTTAAGTAAACTGCCACAGGTACAGTGATTGGTTTCTTCTGATGCATCTATTGGTTTGAGTCCAGCTAGTCATTGACATACCAATTTAGGTACAGAGCTAGGTTGGTATCACTCAATTTGTTGAAACTTAAAATCAATGAAACTTACATGATATTTTCAATCACATAAATAAAAAAATAGACAAAAACAGAATCCGGTAACTCTTGAGGACATGCCTTAGTTTGACCCCTTTTAGGACAATCTACGATATAGAACCTGATACAACACGTTTCATCCAGTTATCGATACTAAAATGGTAGAGGGCTTCACTAGTATGGGAAAAATATACCAGAAAGTGGTCTTCAGTAGTAAATGCTTAGGGAGAAGGGAATCATTTGTTTGAAGTGTTGGGGGGTTTCAAATAGGATGCCCAATACTACCGCAACAAAACAGTATATGCTTGAAATGCTGTTTACTGACGACGACAATGTATCGTTCACTAAGGTGGCTTATTTCAAGTAAAATTGGCAATTCTGATAAAAGCATATTTTGTTTAGTTGTCTTCCAGGTAACACTTCGTTTGACTTTTCTTTCATCTCTACATGCCTATGAGCCGTTGAGATTGCGCGAAGCCATCGTTGCAATTTTAAGATGGCATAGCGCAAAACCAGCGAAGCTCAGGACCACCTAGGGTAGACATTCCTTCTCTTCAGCATTTCAATCTGGCAGCCCGCAAATGCGGCTGCCTTTAGGAGCATCAAACGCTACTGGAAGCTATATCCTTTGAAGTGAGCAGATTGAACTCTCACAAACTTTTGTTGTTTATTGTTGTCCGTTTTTTGATTTGTAGACGGTTTTCCATAGAATGAGGAGCGACCAACCTCGGATCTAAATAGCAGAGTCAGAATGTTTGGAAGCGCATGTATTCCCCCACAAAAGAATATGGGTCGCCTTTCCATCCCTCCAGCTCGATAGTCTATGGTATCCATCAGCACCTAGGCATAGCATTCTCGGTAAATAATATACTCGTATACAAAAATGAAACACGTTTCATCTCAAAAAGCGCTTACCTCTAATGAACCACACTATACATTTAATTGGTGTTTGGCATGCTTGTACCTATGACTACGTTTTGAAATCTTGTAATGTATAGGTAGGGTATAACATTGGATAAATATAGACTTTCGCACGTAAACATGTTAATATAAAATGTAATATTAATGCTATAATAATAAATCTCGACCGCATAAGTCTCCAAATACACATACTTCAGATAGAAGTCTCCTATAAAAAAAAACAGGAATTGGTGACCACGTGGAGACACTACCATTAACGTACTGGTTTTCCTACCAAGTGAGTCCTTTAGGTCAGGAAACTTGGTGACGTGATATAGCAGATATAAGGTTAGATATGGGCTCAGCATAGTTTTAATTTAGTGTCTGTCCTTTACGACTCTATAAGAAGATGTGTAGCCATTTATTTTATATCGGTGTAACAAAAGCAACGAAACGGCTCCGTATTTTTAAGGTAAGGTATTTTTGAAAAAGGGTTTCTATCAGCTTTGAACAAGCAGTTGAATGATTGCTTTATTTAACGGGAAGCTCCTTTCTGACCCTGGCAATCAAAATAATGGAAAATTTTACGTCCAAGTATACAGGATGTTCATTTGAAAACCTCTCACCACGGATTTATCAGAAACCACTGATTAAAAGAAATATTTTTCAAGGGGGACAACTTTTTAACCAAAAACTACTTCACCCCCTTTCACCCTCGGCCCGCCAGGGTGATTCCCTTAGAAAAATTAAAGACAAGGGGTATCGAGTAATAGCTTGTTTGGAAAGTCTTTCGAAGTCCTTTATTTTGATATTTTAAAATCAGTGAATTCGTTTTCGAGTAAATTAGACAAATCTTTTTAATTTGTTCAGGGCCATGCGCCTCAAGGTCAAATCAAATACCTCTTTCGAAGATCCTTATCTGAAAAAATACATAGCACTTTGGTGACTTTGTCATACCGGGCATTATTGCGTCAAAGACATCTTCCTCAGAACAGGGTCCCTCTACTATTTGTATTCTGTCTCTTTCGACATGCTACGATAACCTATTTTAGTAGTCAGCAATGACAGATATTTATTTTGATCTGTCAGCATTCTCGTAAAGATATCATTGACGGAAGCAATGAAGGGTATCAAAGTTCAATATAAAATCCATTTTTCAAACGTTTATCAACGAGAATAACTTTATAGAACGAAGCTGAATGTAAGCTTAAACTCTAAAAGAATTATCGTTAAGTAGTAAGTGAAGTTCGTTAGAGAGTAGTAGTATGCGCGAACCTCTTATTCAACATGCCTTAATTATAGAGTCTGGATTCGGGCAGTGTTTCACGCTTTTGCTAGGTGGTGTACATCAATCGGTAAGTTTGAAGCTGCGACCCTGAAGCCATGCACTGGATCTGCTACGTAATGCACGGTTTGGATTATTCCATTGGCGTCAATATAGCTATAGCCACCACGAGTTACTCCGTCAGCTGCTCTTGATTCTGAGTGGGAGCTTAGAGGACCTGGAAATATCCACGAATGATGTTAGCTTTGTACGAAAATTAAAGTTGACATACTGCCACCTATGAGCTGGAATTCACTCTTAATGCTGGTAGCATGGTGAGCACTTTATGCTCCACTGAGTGAGATGGGACGTCTATGCGGTGGACGAACTTGACCGGCTTCTAAGAAGCCGGGAAACTGTATTATCCTGCTAACGTATGTAGGGGTTGGTTGTGTGGCGATTGGCAGAGTATTTATACGTGGCAATTTCATATTTATTTTTCGTACAGTACAATACTTAGCTTATCAGTAGACCCATATTCGCTTGTACTGTTTTTCGTCATCTGTCTCCAAATGATTAGTAATATCGTACCGATTATTAGTCGAAAGCATGAAACATCGTTGTGTAAGTATGGTCGAGATCGCAGAAATTGATCGTTTTCAGCGTCATCTATGACTTAAATGTGGATGAAGCTAAAGGTGCGAGGATTGATCAACCAAGGGCTGGCTAGATAATCACTAAAATCTCTACCGCTATCCGGTAGTTAGCTGCAATATACGATGCATGGTGCAAGAAATAGTTAACTTGAGCTATGAGGCCTATTTTATGAGGCCTAATTCGAGTCCATCGCCCGATTATGTTCAAAATTGTATTGGGTTTGAAGCGGTCAGGTGATCATGCGCCATAACTTGGCATTTTAAAGAACCAGTGCAATTCTGCAAAATATCCACATTGTATTTGAACAGATAATTAAAATGTTCAAAACAGAGATGAACGTGGAAAATTCCTGAATATCAAGTCGGTCTTAAAAATGAAGAAAAAATGTAAAATTGCATTGTACCTACCAACGTATCCATAGGAATATTGTCCCCAATGGTCTTGTGTTTGGAACTGAGCGGAACTAGGTGCATGGATTAAAATTGGCGTATAGGCTACCGGTGCAGATTGAGCCACTGGTAAGTCAGGTATCACATAGGTGCTGTGCGCAGTTTTAATAGGAACCACACCTGAGACACAACAAAAGACAATAAATGAAACGTTGCAGGAAGACTGACTAAACGAGGAGAAAGCCTCAGCTTTCTTTGAAAAAACTTTATAATTTCCTTTGTGATATCTCCATAATGTCGTTAGTAACTGTTTAGCTATTTTTTGGTAACTTGGAAAACATTCTCAATATCTTGTACATTTTTCGTGTGCCCGATGGCTTGAGACCGTAGCTGATATAAACACTGAAAAGCACTAGCAAAGTTCGAACAACCTCATTTGTCAGATGCTATCAGGTTGGCAAGTTTTTACTTCAGAAACGACATTTTCCAGGACTCAAAAGTTCTTACACAATTAGTATTCGAGTTGCCTTTTTGTTTTCTGATCTCAACCGATCTTCAAAAATAAAAAACATGTTCGTAAGCAAGCTTTTATCTAACTGTTAATAAAACGAACTAAAAATAGTTTTCTACGATTGGATATATGCTGTTTTGTACTTATTAGCCTTTGAACGATAATGAAGTTCCTTAGTTTCAAGTTTTTAAATAAGAGCGTGTTACATTGTCTGCTCTCATGATGTTAAAATGTAACACGTTTTTATTTGAATACTCCAGACAATCTATATCTCTTGTAAGAAGAAACCTATATAACTCAATCGTCAGAATCTAGGACCAAAACACTCGTTAAGAAGAAACAAACGAGTCTCTGATCGATAGGTCTGGGTTTACTTATTGCAGTTCGCTCATCAAGTGTTTTCGTTCGATATCATAAGGGCTTCTGTGGTAATAAGAGAGTTTTTAGAACTATTGTTTTGCTCATTCGTTCCCGTTATCTAAATAAGAAGCTTAGCTAATGTTTAACTAAAATAGTTTTATGTTATCAATTAAATTGTCCCAAAAATATGAAAGGAGCTATAGACCAGTTACTGCTTCACTACAACATAACCAAAATAACTAACCTTCAGACACATGTTCAGGAACAGGACTTAAGCTGATCTCGGCTGCCCTGATAGCTTCGTCTCTAGCCCTTATTTGCTCAAACGCAGCTAAGTGCTCTGCCCTTGCTTTGAGCACCTCTGGAAGATCCTGCGCTGGGAGCGGTACAATAGGGTGGTGTGCATTTGCATATGCTTCGTTCAGGACAGCTAAATGCTCATTTCTAGCTTGAACTACTTCGGGCAGGTCTGTTACTGGCTGGGGAAGCTGCAACATAATGTACAATGTGGTACGTAATTATACAGGGCCTATAAGACTTCATGATGTGGCCGAATCAGACAACAAATATATATTTAATTATTCTTTGTACAACTTTTCGGCTACTACGGTGGCCTTTTTCAAGAACAATGGCGGGAGGCCGATCCGCCAGACCTCGGCCTCCCATACAAATCGTATGCAACTACATAGAGATGTGGCCGGTCCGACAGCTCCATTGTTTCCGAGTTGTCGAAACTGTGGAACAATCTGTACGAGAAGGTTTTTCTCAATTCGACAAAAATCGGATGAACCTTGTAGCAGTCCCTGTGCCGCGGTATTTCTAGGCTTCTGCCTACACCCGGCATCTTCAGTATGTAAAAAAAATCTAAAAGTTGAATAACATGCAGAGTGTTCCGTTTGAAATAAGCAAGTCGGTAATCTTGATGATTATTATTGATCAATATATTTTCGTAGATTACGAAGCTTTTTGCCTATTATGCTTTTTGTTTAGTAACGTAACTACGTTTTTTGACGTGATTCTTCGCCAGCATGGGTTTTAAGGAAACTGCTAAATCTTCCATTCTCTCAATTAGAGAAACAACTACCTTTCAGTTATAAAGGGTGGCGCAAAATGAACGTTATGATTTAAATTCTTCATAACTTTTTATTCGAGCAGTAATAGGTAATTTGGCATGAAAGATGATATCTCGCACGTGGTGGCCATTTTCGGCCTCACATACTCGTGCTCTTTCCAGAACATACTCGATCTCCTTTCGCAAGAGTTTGGGTGTTACCGCTCCGATTTCGTTCCAGGTATTGTTCTTCAACTGGGTTATAGTTCTGGGCTTATTCACTTAAACGCGGTCTTTCCAATATCACCAAACGAAGAAGTCAGGAGCGGTTAAGTCCGTTGAACGTGGAGATCAATTGAAATCGGACCTGCGCGAAATAATGGGCTTCATCGCTCATTATTATGTTATGAATGAAATTAGGGGTTTCTTCTGATTTTTGCCGAAAAACAATGGCATATTCAAGTCGCTGTTGCTAGTGTATCGGCTTTAATACTTGCACAATATAAATGTTGTATAGAAACATGTGTAATGTATGCTAAACTCCCTGCAGTGACCATCGTGATAACCCAAGTTCTGTCGAACATCTTCTTGTTGAGGCTTCTAGACTTTACTGTAAGTATACGTTCAATATTTTCATTAGTTTGCACCCTGCGTCATATTCCAGCATCACGACGGTTCAGTACCCAGTCCCATGTTGTCGAAAATTTGCAATTTATTGATGGCGCTGAGTGTCCATCCCGCACATTGAAGTAGCAACGAAATGAACGCAAGTTAACACAACGGATCGTTGATATTCAAAATAAAACTCCATGACCTTGATTCGTTGCTTTGTTGTGTATTGTCGCATACGAAATTATCCAAGCCTCCTTTACTCACTCCTACAAGGAAAAAATATGATAATGAAAAATAAAGAAAATACTATTCAAACCATAACGTTCATTTTGCGCCACACTGTAGGTATAAAATTAAAAGTGTACCTGTTGATGTTCCGGAATATAAGGCACATGATCTACTGGCACCGCAACAGGGTTGGAGTAAGGCACAGCCTTTATCGCTGCAATCTGATCACGGTTGGCTTTGATAGCATGAAAATCGGCAATGTGCTTCGCTTTCGCATATGCGACATCGGGGAGGTCTTTGGGTAGGTTAGTGGCTGCGACTCGAAAGCCATTCAAAGCATCAGCTGTGTAGTGGACTGTTTGGAGAATGCCGTTTGTGTCGATATACGAGTAACCACCCTGTAAAAATCAAACACTAATCCATTTTTCAAGATATTTCATCACCTTTTGACGTCTGTCGAGGGTAAATGAATGACCAACAAGTAACATATTTTTGCTAAAGCTTGTACTGATGGCAATACTGCATCTGGTAAAACTAAATACCATGTTGAGACAGAGTTGTGTGTCATTTGTTGATATTGTATAATTTGAATGTTACCAGAAAATCACCTGTTATTATGAGGTTTTGACTAGATGAAATATCGTGAACAACCGGTTACCTGAGAAGTGGAGTGAAATGGATTGCCTAAATACTTTCCGCGTATTTTGTAGTCTTGCGTACAAATAATCTTTATCATAATCTCAAGCTGCACCAAGCTGACTGGTGGATTCCAGAAATGCTCAACTGTTATTTTAAAAACGCGACATTGTACTTAAATCTTGAAATAAGAAACCTGCTAAATTTGAAAAAAACTGGGTTTAGGTATAAAACATTTTGACAACAGATTGTTGTGCGCAAAACTTACTGCGGCATTGAACAAGGTACACAAAGCAGATGTGCTTATCCTCATGGGAAATTAAATTATTAAGTAGCGAAAATAACACGGACATGGAGCAGGCCATGGTCCGACATAGGCTCAGGGAAATCAATAGCCGGGGCGAGATTTTTACAGAGCTGTGCTCCAGCCTTGGTCTAATAATTGGTGGAACATACGAAAATAAATAAGGACTCATGGTACACCTCAGATGGTACTATTATAATCCAAACTGGCCATATTGTTATCGAGAGAATAAGGAAAAAATCTTTGTTATATGTCAGACGCTTGAGAACAACGCGCCAAAAATACAACCTCAGAACGACGCAAACGTACACACACCTATGAGGTATTTGGACCGAAAGTCAAGACCAACTAACCAAATGCTGACGGAGCAAATGGACTGGGAAGAATATAGGGAAATTATATATATATATATATATATATACTAAGTGACATATAAATCCGAACACCCAGTTTGAATGGTTTTATTTTAATAAAATTTTGTATAGGTACTTAATGAAGCATAATAAGTAAATGATAAAAATTTCAAAATGATTGCACTGCTTTAAAGCCCTTTGACCTTTAATAATGTGTGGATGCACCCTGATGCGCTACGCATTCTCCAACGCGCCTAGGCATGCTTCTGATCAGGTGGTCAATGTCCTCCTGTGGTATCTCATTCCAGGCAACCACCAACTCCTCTCGAAGTGCTTCTAGAGTCTGAGGAGGACGTTGCAAATTGAGCAATCTCCTACCCATCATATCCCACACGTGCTCAATTGGGGATAAGTCGGGAGATATTGGTGGCCATGGTAACAATGTGACATCATTATGTTGAAAGAAGTCTATTGTGACTCTTGCAACATGTGGTCGGGCATTATCTTGTTGGAAAGTTGGATCTGCCAGGGTGTCAAGATAGGGTAAAAGATGGGGTTCTAGAACTTCGTGGATATAACGCTGCGCGTTCATGTTACCTCTGATGAAGATTAAAGGTGACCTGGAACCATAAGCTATAGCACCCCAAACCATAACTCCAACAGTGTGATGAACATGTCTTTTAACCAAAAACTGTGGATTTCTCCTTTCACCACGTCGTCTTCTAACCCTTTCACGACCATCGTGCATGCCTAAACAAAATCGAGACTCGTCACTAAAGACAATACTGTTCCATTCTTGATCCCAGAGTGACCGTTGTCTGCACCACTCAAGGCGATTACGTCGGTGTTCTCGAGTTAAAGGGAGGACCCAGTGTGGCCGGTATGAAAACAAGCCAAAACTTCTCATTCGTCGGTAAACACTTCGCATGCCGATAGGTTTTCCGTGTTCTGCAAACCATTCATTTGCAATGGACCTGGTAGTGGAGAAACGGTCCCTTAAGGCCAATAATCTTAGGCGGCGATCTTCACGGTCTGTTATTCTACGGCGGCGTCCAGTGCCCCTTGCTCTTTGCGTACGGCCTTCTCGAAGCCATGCCTGACAACACCTAACCACAGTGTCTACACTTCTTTGCACTCTAACTGCAATTGCCCGAAAAGAAAGTCCAACTTCCCGAAGTCCCTCTATACGGCCCCTATCAAACTCACTAAGTTGACAAAATCGTACAGGTCTCCGTACTCTAGGCATCGTAACCGATCGTAAAGGATGTCAAGAACCAAAATCCGCCAACGTTGATTTTTTACTGCGGCTGAAATATTCATTTTTAGAGCGTTATTGAATTAAAAAAAAGCAGTATAAAAACCGGAATGTCCAACTGATAAGGCTGAAAATTTTTTCACTTGTTATTTACAGTAAGATAAATACATTCACCAACTTTTATTAAAATAAAACCATTTAAACTGGATGTTCGGATTTATATGTCACTTAGTATATTACCGTTGTGTACCGATACAGATTTTAAACTAAGCTTAGAGGAATCAACGAACAGGTGCCAATCATTTGGATCATGTTTCCGTCCTAACGCCTCAAACAAATTGTTGATATCGGACCAATATATCAACTCCCTTTCTTGACGGAAAGAGTGTGTGAGGTCTTTTTGCCGTTTTCGGTGAAAATTAATGTTAACATTACCGTGGAGAAGATTCCATCCTGTTAATCTTGACGCTAAAAGTTCTGACTGAGATTTTGACACATTTAATACTCGAATTAAGTCATTAAGTTCGCCCTGTGTGAACAAATGCAAAGCTGATGGTAAATTAAAATACTTAACAGTATGTTTCGATTTTGTTCCAATACCTTTAATATTTGTGAGGCAAAAACAGCAATCAGTAGTGTGGTAAAAATAAATATACATAAGCAGTCGCGATGGAGGAAATCGATCTCGAAGTATGAGCAAAAAGAATAATGGATTACCGGAGATACCTGGAATTTGAAACAGAAAAACAAATAAAAAAAATATAATGGGCAAGAACCATCTACAACAGATCGGTAACAAATATTTAATAGTCAACGAATATATAAAGCTAAGCAAGCCAGTCAGAAAGGCGCTCGATGGGATAAGCACCACTGGGCAGAAAATTTGGCTCAAGTAGCCTCCGCAGGTAGCACGGGTGAAATGTCATTACCAAATGTTTAATTGACAAATATATACAAAAACTCAGACTATCCTTAAAGACAAAAACGGATAGGTAATAACCGCCCCTAAAGAAAAGGAAACATTATGACATAATGAAAACATCATTATTAGCTAGACCACACGACGTGGTAAAAAATGAAAAAGTCCTACCAACACGGGAAGTGAATACTTCAACACCTTAACTTTATGAATTCAAGAGCTCGATTGAACTTCTCACATCAGTGAAGTCAGCTGGTCTAGATAACATACCCTCCGAACTGTTTAAAGCAAGTGCAAGTACTACGGCAGCAGTACTGCTTCCTATCATATCATTTTGGAATGAGGGAAATTGACCAACAAAATAACTTCGAGGGGGCCTTCGACACTGTGACCCATGCTAAAGTATGGGAATACATGAGATAAGTGGAAATCTCACAGAAAATCATCAATGTTGTAAAACATATATATAGGTGTCTCAAGCCAGGTTCTCCATGAGAGCCAAAAGAGTGAAAAAATCAGCATGAAGCGTAGCGTCAAGCATAGATCTGTACTCTTCGTAATGCTGTTCCACATAGTACTGGACTGTGAATTGAGAAAATCATGTGATGTATGGGATGGTACCAGATGGGGTTTGATGAGGAGTCTGGAATACTGTTCAAGATACTAATGAAATAATTGCAAACTTGGATAGAAAGAGGTCATTTTGCAAAAGACCAAGGAAATGGGGAAAAATATATTTAACCAAGAACCTCTAAAACTTTACAACGGATCAATAAATAAAGTCGATGGTTCCGAAAATCTAGGCAGCATCAAAAACAATAGCAGAGGAATAGATCAAGATAACGACTACTAAAGGCAAAGAAGGCGTTTTGTGCTCTGCATAAAGCTTGGCAATCGTCAGTATACTCAATCAGATCAAAAATGCGATTGCTCCACAGCAATATAAAGATGACCCTACTTTGTGAGTGTGAAACATAAGCGAGTAAAAAAACTGATGAACAACTTCAAGCTTTCATCAATAGATGTCTACCAAGCGTTTTACGAATATTTTGGTTAAGAGCAATATAAACCGGAAAATGAGACAAGCAAAATGAAGAGGACCTACGTACTACGAAAAGGGATGAAAGAACCTGTAGCTAGAATAGCCCCTCAGAGATGCGAAAATCTAAGACGTCCCAGACTGATATGGAGAAGATTGGTGATAAACGAAGCAAGACGAATGGGAAAAACACGGGGACAACAGATCAAAATGCTTGAGACGAGTGCCGTCTGTTTGTAGATGCCTCATGCTCTTGAACGGAATGAAGGAACCATATTATATAGTTATGATACTGATTGATTTTGTTTTTTCGTGAAATGCTTGAAAGCTGAAACATTATCCTTCATCCAAAAAAATCAGCCGTTAAAGGTGTGTTACTAGATTTATACAGCGAATCCTTGGAAGAAGGAAATTTATCTTTTTTTATAACAACGTGAAGGCTACATTTCCAGGAACATGGGTTGATTTCTGCTTGATTCCTGAAAGTGGCTGCTAGGTTATTTTCTCCGTGAATCCTCTGTACTGAAAATCTTTAACATTTAGATGATAGTTACTAGGATATTTACACTAGAACGTAAAGAAGAGGTCCAGAAATTCTATCTCGTAAAATGTTGTTCCTGGTGTGAAGGCAGATATTTGAAGAGGAGGCATATTGATATTTTCATTCCCTACCAGGTCAAGAGTTTCTTAGAGAAATTGGCGCATTGACTAGTAACGGAGTACAGTGCGCGCCTAGCACACAGAGTGGCCAGGAACATGAAATGCGTTGAAAAACAGGCTTTAAAATTTATGTCATATGTGATTATTGCTCCAAAAGTGCTTAGCGTTGTTGAAAAAATGAATATCTATCAGAAGTGGTACTTCCGCTCTTTAGCTTGAAAGTGATACGTTTTCAAAACGTTTAGCAAATCATGTTGTCCGGCAAAAGCATTAGGCGTTTGGTTTAGGTATTCACATTGATGTGCTAACGCCTTAAGTCCAATCCGCCTGGCACATCTTGGCAATGGTGCTTGTTTCAATGTTGTCAACGTACTCCCGGTTGAGGGAGATGTCCGGCTAAAATTTACAGTACGTTGTCTGTCTACGTCAAGTTGGTAGCTTCTACTAGCAAAGAACGGAAATGCAGATAGTATCTACAAAAAAAATGCGACATCCATAAAAGCTGTATACTAAATTAATTGAATGATAGTTTGCTTTATGACAGCATCAGTATCTCATTAGTATTAGATGCATTTCTTTGTTTGTCTTGCAACTACAAGTAGTTCATTATTGTTACTTTTGCTTGATTACTCATCACGTGCGATGTATAAGGCAAAAGTGGCTGCTGCATTTCCTCCAAATTTTGCACAATCTGCTTTCTTAGACGGTATAGCTTTACAATTTTTCAACCAGAGCTCAAGGGAATCAGTGGCTTTATATCTCTGCCTCTCCAAATTTTCAATATTTCTGATTAAATATGCGCCAGTAAAAGAGTATGCCACTGGCTACTGGGCATTTATTTAAACACTACCACAACGTAGTAATAACACCCAATACCAATATAAATTAGAACGTCGACAAGCGATTTTAAAAATCGCTGAGAATAAGACAAACAGGAATACCATACCTTTGCAAGCTCACAGAATGCAAGTGCTAATTAAACATATCTGCTAAGTGAAAAACGAGAATACCGACCCCTGAACTGAATTCGGAACTAGCAAACTTATGACAATTCATTCGATTTCAACACAGAATAAAATTCTTACCCTTGTAACTCCATCTGCGCTTTTAGTTTCACTCTTTGCTGCTGTTGGAGTGGCATACCCATAGACATACTGTCCTAGCTTATCTTGAGCATGATGTAGTGAATAAATCGGATGATATCGTTCAGGTCTCTCAGGAGTCTCGGGTAGTCCAACTGAGACTCCAACTGGATTGCTGATAACTGCGTGTATTGCTGCTAGGACAGCTATAGGAATCTGGAATGCCAACAACCGATTTTAGATTAATTAGGAAGATAATAATATGAGTTGTTCAACATTAATAACAAGTTTTATAAAAAAGGACTGACTGTTCAGGATACTATTGCAACACACTACAGTGTACTTAAAGTAGCGACAAAAAATGAACTGTCACCTAAAATACAAAATACAATTTATTGTCAATGTCATTTTTATTTCTCCTTTGAAAAAGGCCACCGAGGTGGTCGAAATGTATGTGGTAGCTTTAGCTTCAGACGCCAATTCCATCCAACTTTATTACGCAAAAAAAAATTTCAAAAACATCGAATGCATAAATACAAAGCTTGGTGATGTTCTGGAAGTATTAATTTTTCGCTAGAAACTTCGCCGTCTGATTCAAGATGATTTTTTTCGTTCCTAACCTACTCCGTGAAATATAGCTCTGACATTTCTGGAGATTTTGTTCTACGAGGTCCCTACTGTACGAGTTATAACTGATTGTTAATTTGTTCACTAACTCCTTTTATTCCGTGAAAGATTTTGCTTTCTTAGCCTGTCTAAAACTTAAATTCAGTCTTCGGACCAAAGAAGTATTTCTACAGTTAGATATTTATTGTTTACCCTATCTGAACGGAAGTTCAAAATTATGCTTTCCACGCTCCTTCAAACGCTCTTTCAAAATATGCTTCCAATATTGATAAGATTATTACCAGCTTGTCAATATTATTTTACTGGCGAATACTGGAGCTGGAGAAATAAACGACATGCAATAAAAACTTTCAAGGCAATGTACATAAATAATAACGGCAATAAAAGGGATACAAGATAGTTTCACGAAGTTCGCGCGAACAACCATTTCCCAAGTTTCAGATTCTTTCACAAGTTTTTCATTCCATGAATTTATTATTGTGAAACAGGAAGCGAATTTATTGTCAGGCCGTTCCTTTGTTTTATATACGCATCAATGCAGCATAACATGGCTCTGTTCTGGAATCATTTTCCACGAACTGCTGCACTCCCATTCTGTTTGAATTATGCAATACGCTTTGTATGTACATGCCATCCCCGGATCTCTTTAAAGTGTAAAATACGAATCGGTATGCTCTCAATGTATTGCAGAGTTACTAGGAGCGACTTTTGACTTCAACTTCTTGGTTTCAATATTTTTGACCGACCTTAGTGCGCAAGGTTAGATGGAGGCTGCACAGCACCATCATGTTTTTGTTCACATAATGAGCAATCGTTATGGCGTTGTACATGTTGCCTGAAGTCTCTTGAGCTACCACGGTTTGGTTGTGATATTATGTATAGTCTGCTCCAGAGTTGACATTAAAGAAGGTTTAAGCTGTAAGTTGTATACTATAGTTGGAAGGAAGCGGGCGAAACCTCAGTGAAGAGGTGCTTAGTGAGGGTTTATGTGCTAATAATCAGTACTGATGATAATTCCCTTGATTTCTTGTCTCGCATTCACCTACTTGAGAGGTATGAAAAGCTATAAATTAATTCCGCATCAAGTGTTTCTTATTCATCTTGGAAACTACATGTGCAATTTTGCTGAATTTCAAAAAAGAAAGAGATAAAAAACGGAAATTTCTGGTTGGTGAAGTATAAACAACTAACGTGTGATAGAATAGGCTACAGACGGGAGTATTTTTATGAAATGTGAAAATGTTATTACATTGTATATAATTTTTTATTTCCAGTCATTTAAATTTTATAGAAATTTCTTTTGTGATGTCAAGCAGAAAATACAAATCATAGCCTAGGTGTGCTGCATTGCGGAAATGTTTTGTGTCAATCCTTTTTTTTGTGATGCGGATTTTAAGGTAAGTGAACACACTTACTTTTCAAAATACAAGCCGCGCAAAGCCGCCAAGCATCATTCCGGTTGTGACAGTCACATATAACGCTAGTGAAGTACATATTTTATGGTTGGTTGGTTAAAATGAATATGGAAATCATCAGCACAGCCGCCGCAGTTGTAATTTTTATTTTAATAAGAAAAAAATAAAAAAGGACGAGAAGGTTTTGGTTGCACCCAAGTTTACAAAATAGAAAATGGCGGAACGGTACTGTAATGATAGAAGACTATAAAAAGATGATGTGGAGTGTCAGCGTTTGCGCAATAGCATGTTTTTTGGGTTTCTGTACATCGTCTACGCCTGCACCAGATTTGTGCAACTGTTCGAACTTATTTTTTCCCGAAAATAATGAGATATTACACAATGCCAGGAACGAAGTGACGCCGGCAAGCCGCGTAACCCGCCGGCACACCCCGGCGGCACTCCCCGGCGGCTCCTTTGCGCGGCAAGGCCGGCGGCTTTGTATGCCGCCGGGTGTACGGAGGCTTAGCCGGCGGTTTGCCCGGCGGCACTGTGTGTAGCAGCCTTTAGATATAACATCCAACATATTTCCTCATACAGCTAACGCTACTCAACAAACTTTCTTCCTGTCACATCTTCTGAGAGATATACTCGTACTCTACAGACTAGCATTGTGCAGCCAACAAAGTATGCTGGCGATTTGACTTGGAGCATGTTGTCAAGTCATTCCTCCATGGATGGCGCTCTGGGTGACGCTCACAGCGCACTCAGCGACCAAGGACGAAATGAACTATATGCACACTGCTAGTCGCTATATACGAGTTGTCAGCAAGATGACATTCTGTCGTTTTTTTTGACATTATATAGGTTTTCTACGTGATAACCCTGCGGGACCTAAATTGTGCTTATAAATACCTAGGTATTCCAGGCGTTTAGTTGCGCTTTCAAGCTGATTGGCCAATCTACACCCGGTAGGGTAGATCACGTGAGCCACAAATGTTTAATTTTGGCTTTTAGAGGGACTAATTGTAAAGCAGTCCTGGACGGCACGGGTATTACGTATCTTGAAAAGTGATATTATGCCGTTTTTTTGTGACATTATGTAGGTTTTTCTACAAGATGTTAATTTAGCACTAGCTGATCGACATTTGTCCTGAACTCGTTTGTAGTTGTACGTGTTGCCTAAACGTCATGAGGCTTCAGTTATTATTGTTTGGCTGCGATGTGTTGAAATTTGCTTCAGAGATGGAATTACTGGACGTAACGGCATAGTGAGGATTTGTGTGCTAATAATATGTGTTATCTCAAATACCCCTACTTGAAATTCAAAGCTAGAAATTGGTTGCGTATCCACTTTTTTTTATCCATTTCGGAAATTACATATGGAAAATTGCTGAATTTCAAAAACGAGAAAGATGAGAAATAGTTATATTCACTGTACACTGTCGAATTACAAGCCATATACATGCTAACAGTAATTACACAGAACGCGGACGCGGTGGTGATTTCCTGTAAGCCTCCTCAGAGTTCTTCGTAATTTATAACTTCATAAAGCACCAGACCAATAATCCGTCGGGCACAGCTAATAGATATTCTTCATTGGCAGTATATTCAGTAACGATTTTCTCGCACAGCAAATATCACTGATTTTATACACATGCAGACCAATACACATATCACCCAGATGCGATCTTGCTATTCAACCAACTTTCTTCTCAGAGATAAAAACTATAAATTAGTCAGCTTCACAAATCATATGCAACCAACAATGCCTGTAGTTTGGTTGAGTCATTCCTTCTTAGTTGGACGCTCACAACGATCCTATTGGGCAAACGTGTTTGCACCCTGAAAACTACCTAGTCTACATTTTATCGGTTTTTTTGACCCTTTATAAGTTTTTTGCATAATATCCGTGTGGGTGTTTTCGATCACGAAAAACAAAATGTCGCATTGCTAAACACTTCAACAACGTGTTGTTCTTGAACTGCTCTTGACATTGGGTCACAAGCAAGATATTGTCGAATGCGATCCTTGTCACCGTTTGTCGCTGTGCTGCGTGTTTTCAAGCAAACTCCTACTTTCATAATATTATTCAATTGCTTGTCAAATCCCGTGGACACTAAAGAAAATATAAATAAACGGAAAAAATCTGGAACGCGTCAATCATCGTCGCGGATTTCTAGCTTCGCCAGGTTTTGCCGGATGAAAATGCTGATTGCGAGATTGAGCAAAGCATCTTAAAAGTTCCGTGCGAAGCAGTCTCGTGTGCGACTTGGATTAATCGACGTACAAAAACAACCCACTCCCATGATTTTCCAGAATCAGAACGGTTCTAGGGTGATTCCTTGTAAAACCTAAATAAGGCTGCGGAGGCAACCTACTTGGAAAGCATCCTAGCAGTCTGAAAATACATTCCATTTTTTTTTATTCTTGTCAGATAGCAGTAACTACTAACTGGAATCGAAATTTGACTACCTATATTCATTCACTTAGATTTCTTACAAATGAACATTTGCTTACGTTATACTTATAAATAAAAAATTGAACAATATTTCGGTTTAATGGCAAATGTATGGAGAATAAGTGTAACTATTATGTCTGACAAGTTCGAAATATTATGGAGATCAAGAACCCCTTGACAGTAAACCATCTTTCACAGATACCAAAGATGCAACATTCTCAACTCCCCACCCCCTACAACCCCAAATTCTAATCTTCAAGCCCCAGAAAAAGATGACTAAAAATGAATCTTCTGAAACATGAAAAAACTCTTAGCTTCGCCATCACGAATCTATTGTTAAATCCCCCAAAGCTCTTTCATCCTTGTGTCCTTCTAGTTATAGAGAGGGCAACGATTAGCGGACAGAACAGGCAGACAGACAGACCGACTGAAGGAGACATGTTTCGTAACGTATGTATCATGTGATATTTTAAAAATTCTAATATCCTAAATTTTTCACGATTAAAGTACGTTTGAAGCAACAATCAGTATAGGTGGTGATAAGATACAATGATTACGTTTATACAAAAAATGGCAATCGACTCCGAGCCATAAAATGATAAAAACACGCCAAAGTTTCAATGGACACCTCCATTTAAGCGCCCGTGCAATTTTCTTCTGCCAACTATACGTTTTCTCATGGTTTGTAGCCGTATTACGAGTTGCGATGAAATTTATGGTATCCATTCTTCAGT